CCTGCGGAGGAGTTCAGTCGGTTGGGAGGGAGACAGGCCCGTAACCAGCTTGCAGGCTGCGGAGGTGCAGTCAAGGTTTTAGAGGGGAGGAGGGGCACAGTCTACTGTAGGTGTTTTAGAGCTATGGTCGCCAACTTTTTGGGAGGAGATCAGTCCGAATGATCAGATCAGAACGTTTGAGGGGTGGGGGATCTGTCCAGTTGACCAGATTAGAACGGTTGGGGGGAGTTCAGTCCAGATGGGCAGGAGATCTGTCCAGTTGACCACATCAGAACGGTTGAGGAGGAGTTACTCCAGTTGGGCAGGAGGTCAGTCCGACTGACCAGATCAGAACGGTTGGGGAGGCGATCAGGTCTGTTGGGGGAGAAGACCATTCCGGTTGGCTAGATCAGAACGGTTGGAGAGGTGGTCAGGTCTGTTGGGGAGGAGAGCAGTCCAGTTGGGGAGAAGATCAGTCTGGTTGGAGGGTGGGGGGCGGGTTGGTAAGGAGAGCTAATATTCATTAAAACAATCAATCTATCGGCATTCTGTCTTAGGTCTAGCAGCCATTAGAAATAGGGTTGGGTTTACCTAATCCTAGCCCTAACCCAGCCCTAGTCCTAACCCTAGCCTTTACCCAAACACACTTGCTTTATCAGCCCGATCTTCTCGGGCAGCCTAAAAAAAACCTCATTAATATAAATATAAATTTTACCCTTTTTTTGTACAAAATTGACGCAAAATTGTAATACTTAATTATGATCAAGCAATAATCGACTTGGGTGAACTTTTCCTTTAACATCACAAAAAATTATCCCGTTTTTATTCTGTTTTATACAAATTGAATTACGTTTTATTGATTGTCCTGTTGAAAAGAAAATTAAATATTATTTTTTTTTCTGTTAAAGAATTCTTTGTCGTCTTTTTATATGACTAATGTCAAATATCGGGTTTTGTAAAATCAGAATGATAATTTGTCTTGCGATTGACAGATGACAGGACAATAGCCACGCGCTTGGTCAACTGACATCATTGGTCTGGAGTGGACAAAAGGCTTTGGAAAGAAGGGTTATGCGCCATGCACGAGATTTTTTCCACCTGGTTGATAATGGACATAAAAGATTGGTCAAGAAATCAACCTGTCGCCGGATATGACATACTTCTTTATTTTAATGTTTTTTTGTGTCTGTGATAATCTGAGGGTAATCCCCTTGTCTAAGTCGGTTGAATAACGCATCACCGACTTTCATCCCCATGCGTTAAATACAATACAGTTATAACAATGGACGGGAAAAACATATATATATATATCGGATTGCACCAGGCCTCACGAAAGACCCATAAGGGGGGGGGGGGGTGAAAGTTATATATCTGAAGTTTCCCTTGGTGTACTGGAGAGGGTGGGGTGGGGTTATCTTTGGGGGATTTAGACACATTACAATTAACAAGAAGACCAAGTCATCAACATGCAAGTCCCTATTATACCAGAAACTTTGTTTCCATGGTAACACAAAAATCATTATATCGGGGACATTTATAATTAGCAAAAGGCTAATACAGAGGTTTGACATGTGTACAAAGTGTCGTAAAGATATCTTGAACGGTTTATGAGATATACTTCAGTGACATACACAAATAATGTTTTCTAATTTTTATTCAGGTAATTTGGACCTATTTTACATGATTTCTGTAAAATTTGGTTAATTGGCTGATTAAAATTTTGAAAATAGTAAGCCTTACCATGTTCGTGTGCGGGGTTGGGTGGCCAAATGATTAGCACGTGTACGTTGTATCATAAGGTATGTCATTGAGTCAACTGGCGTGCTTTCGATTGCCGCGTTGTAAGTGACAAGGAGTTGGATCACCTGTCCAACCTCGTGGGTTTTCTCCGTGTCCTCCGGTTTTCTTTCGCTGCTAAAGACCCCTACGCGCAAGCGAATTATTGAAATAAAATTGAACCATATTAGTCTCAAAATGACCTAGTTTGTGTCGAGTGGACCTTAAGATACAGCGCACACGTACTAACCATTCAGCCATCTACCCCACCCGACCCCCTGCTCTACCTACAGATTGGGTGTATTTGATTGAATTTTTCATACGTGTAGGTTTATTTGATTCAATAACGTTGTAGATGACCATATGGCATGTTTTAACTTTAAGACGACGTGGTTGTTTTTTGTATAAATTGGTTTAACGTGTACAGCTGGCCATAATAAAGTATTTTTTACTTCCATACAAAGACTGTTCGATCCCTGTATTGACCGAGAAAGTTCGTCCAGATTTTCCGGCGTGGTTCCTCTTTGTCAGTGATCTGGGCGAACGGCCTGACAAGGACAGCTGTCTAGTCGTTCGGATGGGACGAAAAAACGAGGTCCCGTGTACACATTGGCGTGCACGGAAAAGATCCCTTGACATTTGGAATTCGATTTAGTAGGCCGTAGTGCCGCTGTCCGGGCAAAATTTCTCTCATAGCACACTGTATGGCGTATGCCCGTCTTCATTAGCCCAGGTCATAGCATAACAGCAAAACGTTAAACCCCGTTTCATTTCATTTCCACACAAAGACGGGACGTGTTTGTTTTTTTTGTTTTTTTTGTTTTTTAAATAATAACAATAATAATATTCTTTAATTAGACAACTCTTTGAGCAGGTGCGCGAAGCATAGATCGCGATAACTAGTTAGACGGCATCTGATACCTAATCACCGTATCATCACACCTGTAAATAAATGCATTTTCCGCCATCTTGACAGGTTATTATTATCCTTAAATCACCTGGTTTTATAATACATACCTGAAACTTGATGTCATGTCGAGGACGTGATAAGACGTGTGTTAGGTTCCCAGGCCCTCGTGACATGCCCTGACCCTCGATATTAATTTAATATGACCCCTTAACAAGATCGCCTGGAGTGGTGTCATCTTAACTCCCGGGTATTATTAATTTTACAGTGGTCAAGACCCAGGTAGGAGGTCGATCCATTCATACATTTATTAAAATGAAATAAAATTATTTTAGGAGATTGATTTTAAGACGTGTGAAGAAATTTGGATTTTTTTTGGTGAATGTGTTTCCTGGGATAAATGTCATAGGTTCATAAGAATCGGGATTCTCTAATGTTGTCCATATTTGTGATTTTTCTAAAATTTTGTTTTTCTCCTTGGTTCGTCCAATTTTTCAAAATTCTTTTTCACAATTTGAACGACTGTCAATTATATGATAATAGTATTAACTGGATTAAAGGTAATACAAATTAATTGAATACATTCTCAGGTAGCCATTCATTCATAACGTCATATAGAATACAAAAATTTGACTTAAAGATACATTATGGGAAATAAGATAAAGAGCTGACAGTTTTCACTATAATAGTTAAAAACTAGATAATGTAAAGGCAATTTGCTGAAAATTTCAATCAAATTGATCCACTGTGAATCGAGAATTAAGCGATTGAAATTTCGGTCTCGCCTGGATTATCATTACTAAAGCCGGTACGATAAAAAAACAAATAGTCTCGATTATCCATTTCATGATTAAATCAGAAATGAAAGTTGGGCAGCAAATCGGATCATAATCCAATAAATATCACCGGCTAGCTTTGACATCGAGGAGTTGATTATGGTCTGAATAAGTTAATTAATGTCTAATTAAACATGCATTATGCAAGAGCTAAATCTGCCTATTGCAGGTCTTTCTTTAGGCCTGAAATGTTTTCTATTCTAAAGTATTAATTAGACATTAATTAACTGATCCAGGCCTTAATCAACTCTCGATGGCATCAGATTTCTCCGATATTAAATAGATTAAAATGGTTCAGCGATACTTTGATTTAATCAAATATGGAGGACCAAGACTTAGCTTTGATCAACCAGTACGGTGGTTGAAATTATTGCACAGGTCTGTCAAACCTTCAAAGGCTAATATCTTCGCTTGCAATAGAGTAATTTGAATGAAATTTTCAAATTATTCATTTTACATCATCTACTTTCGAATGGCTAGTTCTTTATCTAAATCTTACATAGTGTATCTTTAACTGAATACATTCTCAGGTAGCCATTCATTCATAATGTCATTAAAAATACAAAAATTTGACTTAGCACGTGCGCGCTGTATCATAAGGTCTGTCATTGAGTCAACTGGCGTGGTTTCGATTCCCCGGTTGTATGTGACAAGGAGTGGGGATGCCTGTCCAATCTCGTGGGTTTTCTCCGGGTCCTACGGTTTCCTCCCACTGCTAAAGACCCCTACGCGCAAGCGAATCAATTGAAATAAACTTGAACCATGTGTTAGTCCCAAAATAACCTAGTTTGTGTCGAGTGGACGTTAAACCCCATTTCTCTCTCTCTCACTGTCCATTTTTCATTGTCTATTTTTGAACTATTATAGTAAGAACGACCAGCTCTATACCTCTATACCTCGCATGACTGATTATCTTATCCACTCATGACTGATGGTGACAACCATGACCAACTAGCCATGACCAACTTCTGAATGAAAGTGACCATTCAACTGAGCAGTGTTCTGCCTATGAATATCAGTCAAGTGAAGACTTTAAAAATAAATAATCAATGAAGATAAATGAATATTTTATGGTATTTTATTTTCATAAATCTTTACAGATCGATATTATGTTAACATATATAATATTTTTAAACATAGACATTATGTCAAATGTACATGTATATATAATATTTTTAAACATCAACATTATATATTATATATTTAAACATTAACATTATGACAACATATATTTTTCTAAACATTAACATTATGTCAACATATACAATATTTTAAAACACAATGTCAACATAAATATTTAAACATAAACATGTCAACATGTCTAATACATGTATATTTAAACATTAACATTATATGAACATATTTAAACATTAACATTATGTAAACATTAACATTATGTGAACATATTTAAACATTAACATTATGTGAACATATTTAAATATTAACATTATGTGAACATATTTAAATATTAACATTACGTGAACATATTTAAATATTAACATTATGTGAACATATTTAAATGTTAATATATGTGAACATATTTAAATACTAACATTATGTGAAAATATTTAAACATTATGTGCACATATATAACAGGCCTAATATATTTATCTACATTATATCAGCTTGGTATTTTTAAACATTAATAACAGTTCAAGGATATTGTATAGTTAAATATGTACCTAAATATATAAACACACAGATGTATATCAGAGGGAGAGAGAGAAAGAGAGAGAAATGGGGTTAACGTCCACTCAACACAAACTGGGTCATTTCGGGACTAACATATGGTTAAATTTTATTTCAATAATTCACTTGGGGTCTATAGCTGTGGGAGGAAACCAGGGGACTCGGAGAAAACCCACACGTTTGGACAGGCAACCCTAAACCTTGTAACCTACAAGCAGGGATTTGCGTATCAACCACTCTCTAATTTTAGTCAAGAGAAATACAGGGGCATAGCCCAAAATATTTCTGCCTGACTTGCTCAGTGTGAAGCACATAACATAATGACCCCTTTCTGAACAGGATTTTAGATGCCATCCCTAACACTAATATAACAAGATGACTCGATCATCAACAAACATGTTTCCATGGAAACCCAAAAATGATAAAATCCAAGAAAATTTCTAATTAGCAAAAGGCCCAGCTACTATAATAAAATCTTGCATAGTTTATGAGATATGCTCAAGAAACAAAATCAGGACTTACTTCGTTCAACTTGGGATAAGAAGCCATCACTAGAGATGATGCAGGAGTGGAATTGTCTCGGTATATATAATGGACAGTTTTCTGTTTTCAGAAAATCGGGAATTACTTTGTTCAGCCTAGGATAAGAGAGAGAGAGAGAAATGGGGTTTAACGTCCACTCGACACAAACTTGGTCATTTCGGGACTAACATATGGTTTAATTTATTTAAATAATTCGCTTGCACGTATGGATCTTTAGCAGTGGGAGAAAACCGGAGGACCCTACTCCTTGTCATGTACAACCAGGGATTCGAAACCACGCCAGTTGACTCAATGACAGGCCTTATGATACAGTGACGTGGGATAAGAAGCCATCACTAGAGATGATGCTGGAGTGGAATTGTCTGGGTATATATAATGGACAACTATGCCTTGTTTACTTTTGTTATATTTCAAAATCTCTTCAATTTTACGAGACTCATAATTTGAAACTTAAAAGGCCTGTATTTCAGTTATATTGTCTGGGTATACATAATGGACAACTATGCCTTGTTTACTTTTGTTATATTTCAAAATCTCTACAATTTTACGAGACTCATAATTTGAAACATAAAAGGCCTGTATTTCAGTTATATGTCAGTTTATATAATAGATGCAAGAAGTATCATACATAGAGAGACCCATAAACATTATATTATTTATGATATTGACTGACATTCAGTTACATATTTTTATCAAAACAATGTCTGTAAAACTATGCCTAGCTTACTATGGACAACCATAGGTTGTTGCTCGACAAGTTTTATCAAGAGAGTGTTTGTTGTAAAACTATGCCTAGCTTACTATGGACAACCATAGGTTGTTGCTCGACAATTTTTATAAAGAGTGTTTGTTGTAAAACTAAGCCTAGCTTACTATGGACAGCCATAGGTTGTTGCTCAACATTTTTGATCAAGATTGCGTTTTTTGTAAACTTGATATAGCATCAGCACAAGATTTAATGAGCTGACAGAGCTGTATGGTGTATTCTATTGACGCTGTTTTATCTAACTCCCCTACGGCCCACTTTAATTTATTTGTTAAAACAGTCACTGATTGTATGAAGTCTGACGATGGAATCGAAGATGTACCCGAGTTGCTCGTACGATTTGACGATGTTACGCTCTGACTGTTTGTAACAACAGCCGGGGGAGGTAACTCTGTGTCTGTAATTTGACTGTCAGGCTGTAGTGGAAGATCTTCAAACTCTGTTTCTTCTCTTGAAGTTACTCGCTGCTGTTCTTTCACCTGTGTTAATGCTGCCGTCTGATTTTTTACTGAAGGAAATAAAAACATCTATACAGAGTTGTCTATAATGAAGTCAAAACTTTTTACTGTAGTCACAGAGAGAGGGAGAGAGAGGAATAGGGTTTAACGTCCATTCGACACAAACTAGGTCATTTCGGGACTAACATATGGTTTTTGGGTTTGTTTTTTTATTTCAATAATTCGCTTGCACGTAGGGTCTTTAGCAGTGGGAGGAAACCAAAGGACCCGGAGAAAACCCACGAGGTTGGAGAGGCGACCCTACTCTTTGTCACATACAACCCGGGAATCGAAACCACACCAGTTGACTCAATGACAGACTTTATGATACAGCGCACACCTACTAACCATTCAGCCATCCAACCCCCCTTAATGAGTGGAGAGCATGGCAAGGAACAATGACTAGTAATCATACGGGAGGTGCGATAAAATGAGATTTCGTGTACACTTTGGCAGTTAGAATTTGACAAAAGAGTAGCCAAAAATTCTGCTGTTCAGGCCAAATTTCAATCATAGCCAATTTAATCACACAAGCCCTTCTCCATTAGCCTGATTGTTTAAAACAAGATGAATGATTTTTGATATTTAAGATTTCAAGTCTAAATCAGGAACTAGTTTCTTAATCAAAGGGAGGCAACTCTACTTAAGGACTTATAAGAGTGACACCATAGCACCTTGGACTCAAATACAGATCACAATTAAAACAGATAATTTGATATGACAAGTACCAGTATTTGAATTTGTTCTGAAAACTTTTTTTTTAATGGACCCTTAATCAAAGATATATTATGGTAGATTAGATAAAGATCTCACTATAATAGTTAAAAACTAGATAATGGAAAGGGAATTTGCTGATAATTTCAGTCAAATTGGTCCAGTCTGAAACAAGATTTTAGCGATTGAATTTTTGGCCTAGCCTCGATCATCACTACTTAAGTCGGTGCGATAAAAAAAACCCCATAGTCTCGATTATCCATTTCATGATTAAATTATGAATTTAAGTCAAACAACAAATCGGAACCTAATCCAATAAACATCGCAGGCTAGCGATGGCATCGAAGGTTTGTTATGGTCTGGATAAGTTAATTAATGTCTAATTAATAATTTAATAATAAAGAAAGACCTGAAATAGACAGATTTAGATCTTGCATAATGTATGTTTAATTAATAAAAAATAATCTGCCTTACGTGGATCATCTTTATCTGTATCAGAATCTAATTCACTACATGCTACACAATAATTGCTACCATGACGATCTTGTAATAAAATAGTCTGAAGATAAAAAATCAAATAGTAAGTGAAATAAAATGAAATGGGGTTTAACGTCCTACTGTTCTGCTCCGAACTGGGCTAATGAAGAAGGATATATGCCATACAGTGTGCTACGAGGGAAATTTTGCCCGGACAGTGGCACTACGGCCTACTCTTATATCGAATTCCAACTGCCAAGGGTTCTTTTACGTGAATGCCAATGTGTACACGGGACCTCAGTTTTTTTTGTCCCATCCGAATGACTACACAGCTGTCCTTGTCAGGCCCCGCTTCCTGCATCACTGACAAAGGGGGTCCCACACCTGAAAATCTGGATGAACTTTCTCGGCAGGGATCGAACACCCGACCTCCAGGGGATGCCAAGAGAGAAATTATGTCTGGACGGTGGTAGTGACTAGTCAAGAATTCTTTTACGAGTGAAAAGGTCGACCTCGCTTTGGTCAGACAGTGGTGTTTATGTTGTCTACGCTTTATCGATTGCCAACTGTAAAGAGGTCTTTTACGTACACAGGAACTTTTTTGCGGGGTTCCATCCGATCAATTAGATGCTATTGCTTGCCAGGACCTTCGACCTTCGACCTGCTGTGGAACATTCTCGGCCAACACAGGACTTGAAGTCAGGACTCACCTGGTTAGTGAGTCAGTTCCTTGCCTTTACTCAGGGGGGTTGGATGGCTGAATGGTAAGCGTGCTCGCGCTGTATCATACAGTCTGTCATTGAGTCGACTGGCGTGGTTTCGAATCCACGGTTGTACGTGACAAGGAGTAGGATCGTCTGTCCAACCTCGTGGGTTTTCTCCTTGTTCTCCGGTTTCCTCCCACTGCTAAAGACCCCTATGCGCAAGCGAATTATTGAAATAGAATTAAACAATATGTTAGTCCCGAAATGACCTAGTTTGTGTGAGTGGACTTAATCTCTCTCTCTCTCTCTCTCTCTCTCTCTCTCTCTCCCTCTCTCTCTTTTACTCACAGAGTTTAGCACACAAGACCTGTTCTTGATTTCATATTTGCAAAACCTGAGCTGTTCAATACCGGAATAGCAAGAGGTTTACTGTCTCTTCAACACAATATATACTTTGGGAGAACATACAGTAATATTTGGGGGATCACGGTGGCTAAGTAGGTAAGACGCTGGCTTGCTATCCTGGAGGTCGGGTGTTCGATCCCTGCATTGGCCAAGAAAGTTCATCCAGATATTCCGGCGTGGTTTCCCCTTGTCAGTGATGCAGGACAGAAGGCCTGACCAGGACAGCTGTGTAGTCGTTCGGATGGGACGAAAAACCAAGATCCCTTGTACACATTGGCGTTCACATAAAAGATCCCTTGGCAGATGGAATTCGATATAAGAGTAGGCTGTAGCGTCGCTACCCGGGCAAAATTTCCCTCATAGCACACTGTATGACGTATGCCCGTCTTCATTAGCCCAGTTTAGGAGCAGAACAGTAGGAGGTTAAACCCCATTTCATTTCATTTGATTTTGGTAATATTCGTTTCTATGGTAACAAGGGAGAGAATGACTAGAAATACACAGGATCTCAGGTTTTCGTCTCATTCCAATGACTATACATTGTCAGGACCTCTGTACTGCACCACTGACAAGGGGGAACTGTGCTGGATGATCCTGTCAGGACCTCTGTACTGTACCACTTACAAGGGGGAACTGCGCTGGAAGATCATGATCGAACATAATGCCCCTTTGAGAAACCATGTGATATCATTTACACCAGATGTTTGTATTCTTCATGATTTGATAAAGGGAGAGAAATGGGGTTTAACGTCCACTCGACACAAACTGAGTCATTTCGGGACTAACATATGGTTCAATTTTATTTCCATAATTCGCTTGCGCGTAGGGGTCTTTAGCAGTGGGAGGAAACCGGAGGACCCGGAGAAAACCCACGAGGTTGGACAGGCGACCCTACTCCTTGTCACGTACAACAGGGGAATCGAAACCCCGCCAGTTGACTCAATGACAGACCGTATGATACAGCTCGTGCGTGCTAACCATTCGGCCATCCAATCAATTCTAATTGGCCTAATAATATGTATAAAATCTCACCTCACATTCTCGACATGTGATTCCCAACATTTTATAACCTTTCAACAGATAATCCCCCATCAATTTACTGATCTTATTGGACCTTTCACGTCGAGCTTCAATAATCTTCATCTCTGCTTCCGTTGGTGGAACCCAGTGGACGTCAAACATATCATTACTTCTTGAAGCTAAAAGATATAAATAAACTCTGTTACTAAGGGGGTTAATAGATACTCCTTGACACAAACTAGGCCATTTGGGGATTAACTTATTGTTCAATTTTATGTCAATAACTTGGGCGTAGAGGTCTTTAGTAGTGGGAAGAAACCGGAGGACAATCAGAAAATTCAAGAAGTTGGACATGCAACCCTAATCCTTGTTGCCAGGCCAGAGAGAAAGTTAAAATTTTCTTTAACAGGTTAATTAGTTAATATAAGTTAATTATCGAAGCTTCTAAAACATGGCGAATTCCGTACCCAACCTATTTTAAAGAGTAAGGAAACTTATTCTAGATCATTATTTTTATTAATTCAATAGGAACTATCACTGTCATGCAGGAATCAGACGAGACATGCTCTTTTACTCATGGACAAAGTCCATATACCGAGAATACAGATACAGCAACTAGCCATTTTTGATAGTTTCGGCAGGCGTTAATTGTATACTTCCACCTAGCCAGCAGATTACTGCATAGTACTTTGAGAAGTGGCATTTTGACAGGAAAATGTTTAAAAATAATCGAATTTGTTGCGTTCGATCTTCGGAAAGTGGTGATCAAGTTATTTTAACCCGAGACGTGTGATCCGGCAGACATAACTAAAGAGACAGTGACACTGTGATCTCTGAATGATATTTTGCATGAATTAGGCCCCTTCTTGGGTCTGAATAACGATTTTCCATTAGAATGTCCATATATGATGTCGCACAGTGTTAACACATGCATTAATTCATTTCTATTAACATGTTAATCTCATTTATACGTTAACCTGTTAAAAAGTTAACTGCTCTCAGCCTAGAAATGGTTCCACTACTGTAGGCCTACACTGAATGACTGATGTCTTGCTCGAGCCACACAAGCAGGCCCGTACCCAGCTTGCTGGCTGCAGAGGGGCAGTGAAGTTTTTAGGGGGGGCACACCCGGCACAGTCTACAGTAGGTATTTTAGAGCTATGCCCACCCCCCACGGCTACGGGCCTGCACACAAGTACTATTACGTACAAATATTGCAACTACTCTCAGCCATGTCACAGAATCGAAAACGTTCTACTTGCCAGACCTTCTGATCTAAAGTACACATTCGGTCCCCCCCCTTCCTCTGAAGGATTTTGGGCCCCCCTCCTGCTCATGGCTATAACCCTAGCCACGAACCTCCAGAAACCATATCCCTAAATACGATAAAAGAGAAGAAAAACAGAAATGAAAAGATGAATGAAAAATTAGTCAGATCAACCAACAGCGCCCGATTTTGAATCCCTTTCAAATTATAAATTACGCAGTGTACATTTTGCCGTCCGACGGTTCTTTACTTTATTTACTATTTAGCCGTCCGACGGTTCTTTACTTTATTTACTATTTAGCCGTCCGACGGTTCTTTACTTTATTTACTATTTAGTCGTCACTTTTGTTTGACATACCATAGTTCGTGGAATTATAATTAAACTTCCCCTTCTTTTAAAGTAAGTTTGTTTGGAAAGACTTCTCGCTTTGTGTTGTCACCACAAGTCTTTTAACATTGGCCTTTCTAGGCGCAAGAAAGTACCTTATTAAAAAGTAATAAATAAAACCAAGTCTGAACAGGTTTGAAAAATTAAGAACAAACAAATGCAAATAACTTTATACTTCTAAATCCATTATTTGACATGTTTGACATTGTAGTTGTAACAAACTTTTTAAAGCAGAATTATTTACATCTGAAATGAAATGAAATGGGGTTTAACGTCCTACTGTTCTGCTCCTAAACTGGGCTAATGAAGACAGGCATACGCCATACAGTGTGCTATGAGGGAAATTTTGCCCGGGCAGCGGCACTATCGACTACTCTTATATCGAATTCCAACTGCCAAGGGATCTTTTACGTGCATTCCAATGTATACACGGGACCTCGGTTTTCCATCTCATCCGAAGGACTAGACAGCTGTCCTTATTTACATCTGTCCTTGTCCTTATACTGCTTTTTCCAAAATGGAACTGGTTTGTTCTCATCACCTTTCGTTTTTCGGCTGAATCCAACAGGTGTCTGTTGATAGACATCTTTTGACCTTCCTCATTTTTTAATTTTGGCTGGCAATTTAATACAAGCTGGTAGTTGATAAGCACATGATGGTGAAGTCTGAAAATTAAAAAGCCACAAAGATTTAAAAAAAACCCTAAAACTCCATGATTTGGTAACTGAGCTCTGTAATTATGTGTTAGACTTCACACCACTTCACCAGACTATGTTACATGTATATACTACATACAATACAAATATCATGATATACTACAATGCCTCAGCTAACAGTGCATTATATGCTTAAAAAGATGAGAAAAGAGAGAGAGAGAGAGAGAGAGAGAAATGGGGTTTAACGTCCACTCAACACAAACTAGGTCATTTTGGGACTAACATATGGTTTAATTTTATTTCAATAATTCACTTGCGCGTAGGGGTCTTTAGCAGTGGGAGGAAGCCGGAGGACCCGGAGAAAACCCAAGAGGTTGGACAGGCGACCCTACTCCTTGTCACGTACAACCAGGGATTCGAAACCACGCCAGTCGACTCAATGACGCACGCTAACCATTCAGCCATCCAACCCCCCTCCCCCACCGCCAAAAAAAAAAATATGAGAAACTTACTGTGTTTTTAATGTTTACATCAGAGAACTCTTCCATTACCACATCGTACAACACAATATCCGAAGTCTGTGTTTGGTCACTTAATGGCTCATATTCTGGATCTGAGGGATTTACTTCATGTACTTGTTTCACAATACCAAGATCAACAACCTAGAAAAAAAACCCAAATATTACAACTCTTTATTTACATATATAACGGCGTACAGTGTAATGCTACAAAAAAACAAATGTTTTATGGCATGTCGGTATAGTACGAATTGGCACCAAAATGTATATGCTACAAGTCAGTTTAGTTTGATAGTGACCAGCTAATTTTTACACCGAAATGTATTTTACAGTAGGCAGTTTTGACTTATAAACAACACCAGTAGAATTTAAAGGAGCTAAATTGCTAACATTTGGGACCTAGAAATTGACACAAGTGGGTCGCAACTCATATAATACTGTAATATGAATGTATATAAACTGATATACATTCAATGGTTTCCGTTTTTACTCTAATTTCAAATCAGTTATGTTCCGCGAAATAAGCCCGCAGTCTCAATTGAATGCAAATTTCTAGCGCCTGGTTATTCCAGTCTACATATGCCGTTTGGTTTGGTGCAATATGTCTAGCCTCGTTCCTCGAGTCTCTTGCTAGAACTGGGGCTGAAACGCATTATGGTACACGATTCGTGTACCAATGGCAAAATGTTTATTTTGTCTTAAATATTGGATATCAGAAGCCAATCTCTTTCCGGTAAGATCACAGCATCAATGTTGATTTAAATTGACAAATAAATCGTGTTTTCAATGTTGAAGATTTTGGATGATATTGAGTTAGAGACTTAGCTACTTTAATATAGTACCAGGTAATTGTAAATATGATGCAAATAAAAAGCAAATATTACTCTCACCTCCTCTTCTGAATTTAAGATCATAACTGAAGCTTCTTCATCCATCTCCCAATATGCAATTAGATTGCGAAGAACTCCGAGCCGTTGTCGATATTTAGTCATGGAGTCTTCACTAGCCAGTGTGGCAAGTTTTTGAGCTTCTAAAAATGCGCATCTGTACTTCTGTGGCTGAGACAGCTTAGTTTGATCGTGCGTTGGCAGAGCTTCAACAATTATAGGTCCACCATTTTCAAATTCACCATCACCATTTGGTACTTGTGACATTGAACAGGTATCCCTATAAAAATCCATCCTCCATCGTTCAGCTATTCTATCCTCAAAGAAAACATTGAGCCCAAGCTTCATCCGGACCGCTAGAACATGGTGGCATGGTAGACCATTTACTAGACTGAACTTGCAGGTGCAGGATGTACTGTCTACCTTAGCCTCCCCAGATGACATGTGAATCAGGAACTTATTAGAACCACTATCTTCATTGTCAGGAACCTGTAGCTTGTTTGCCAGTTGCATTTGATTTGCAATAACTTTGTACGCATAGGGTGTCAATAGCCTTGAGTAGCGTGCCTCAACAGACTCTGGTGCAAAACCAAGGGCTGGTCGCTTCAACAACGTATTACTTATTCTGCAAGCACCGAATAACAAGTTCCAGGTCATCAAAAAATTCCTCTAAATTAGAGAACTTCTTTATAACCTGTTTCAGCTTCTGGTTAATGCTTTCCAATCTGTTGTTGGTTTGGTTGTTGTAGTGGCATGAATCTTTTAAGCCAACTACCCACTGGTTCCTAATTGGATGCCAAGAATTAGTGAAATAATCAATGACTGGTTGTACACCAGTGTCTCTCAGATTGTCGAAGTTACGTTGATATTCATCTTCACAGTTGGAGTATGCCAATTTTTGAATTATTTCTAAACAGTGGTCTTTCTGTTCTAAACGGATATTCATTTTTTCCACGTTTATTTCACGTTTGACAGAACGCAAAACAGGAAACAAACAAAGCTGGAATTGTGCATCCGGAAACTGTTCCCCATACACGGCTCTTTCCATAAAGTCATCGGTCATAACAGTCTTTGTCTTTTCCCATGCCTTGTTTTCATTCTTAAAAATTTGAACAAGTTTGGTCATTGTTTCTGCAAACTCAGAAACAACAATGTACACACACACAATTTCACTCTCACCATTGCCATCAACAATAAGTTGAAGAAATACTGGCATACGAAGATCATTGAGCTTATATGTGACATCCACTAGCAGTAGCTCTGGGAAACAATCGTATTTCTTCTTCATCACCTCGTCTTGGTAATAAATGGCCTCAAGCGTGTCATCTTTTGTTAAGACTTGTATCGTTTTATCTGCAAGAAAAGAGTGAATTTACATTTTGATATGCTGAGCCTGTTCCGGTTATGCAGACTTTTTATCCAGAGATAGGCTTCTTGCATCAAAACTACTCTTACAAGGTAATACTAAAACCAAATTAACTAATGCATTTAAAAAGTTCTTTGGACGACACCACAAATGTATAACTTGTCAACATCTCTGATCTTTTATTAGTACCCTATGTTTTAACTATTATGGTAGTAACCCCTCCGGGAGAGAGAGAGAGAGAGAGAGAGAGAGAGAGAGAGAGAGAGAGAAATGGGGTTTAACGTCCACTCACACAAACTAGGTCATTTCGGGACTAACATATGGTTTAATTTTATTTCAATAATTCGCTTTTTCTCCGGTTTCCTCCCACTGCTAAAGACCCCTACACGCAAGCAAATTATTGAAATAAAATTAAACCATATGTTAGTCCCGAAATGACCTAGTTTGTGTGAGTGGACGTTAAACCCCATTTCTCTCTCTCTCTCTCTTAAACTTCTTACCTGAGCTTTGCAACTTTGTAAGTACTTGCTCAAGATTTTTTGGTTTTGGTATTAGTCGCTGAGCATGGTTTGTAATGTCCTTGAGTGTAATGTTTTTGCCAGTCGATTGTCTGATGTGGTCTTGTAGTACTTTTTTTATTAGGTCTGGTAAACAGCAGCTTTTCCACCTCAGTTCGTTCTTCAGCATTTAGTCTCCTCTCCTTGGGGAGAAACTGAAAGGTCTACTGAATGGAAAAAAAAAGAAAATGACCTAACCACATTTCCTAAAACTCACAATGTGAGTCTAAAAGTATTACACAGAAAATGTAAACTGTAATTTTTTTAACCCGTTAACTGCGTTGGGCATTAGATAACGTCCTAGACAACTGCCACTCACCGTGTGTAGGGCGTAATATAACGCCTTGGAGGTATTTTCCCCAACCTATTCTTCGAATACGATCACAGCATGTGTAGGACGTTATATTACGCCTGGTCAAGGAAATCTAATTGAAGGGAGACAACTCTATTTACCGTTAGTTTTAATATGGTTTCAGACTACTAAAATTTGTATTCAGGAATTAAAAGGTCCAAAAATGACGTTTTTCGTCAAATTAATTACACAATAGGGGGTAGTTAACGTTTTAAAAACTACACAGTTAAGGGGTTAATATCCAGCAGGTAACAAGATCAACTGTTATTAACATATAAAGAGGAATAAAACATCCTATTGTTTTGAATCAGATTAAATGCATTGTATTTACTGTCCCACTACAGGGGGTTGGATGGCTAAATGGTTAGCATGCGCGCTGTATCATAAAGTCTGTCATTGAGTCAACTTTACTGGCGGGGTTTCGATTCCCTGGTTGTACTTGACAAGGAGTAGGGTCGCCTGTCCAACCTCGTGGGTTTTCTCCGGGTCCTCCGGTTTCCTCCCACTGCTAAAGACCCCTATGCGCAAGCGAATTATTGAAATAAAGTAAACCATATGTTAGTCCCAAAATGACCTAGTTTGTGTCGAGTGGACGTTAAACCCCATTTCTCTCTCTCTCTCTCTCTGTCCCACTACAGCTCCAATTTTTAGACTAATCACAAGCATATGTCTTTAGGCGTGCAAAGTGTTATTTTTTTTATTTCTAACTAACTAGGGGTTTCTTTTAACATGTATGTACATGAAATTTGATTTGTCTTTTTCGAAAACTCGCTGCCTTTCCTGGCAAGGCTTGTTGCCAAGTCCGTTACAACAGTCACCAAGCTGGAAAAGTCCACAGACTCACATCATGTGAGATAGATTTACATCCTAACCTTTACACGCAGCACAAGTTATCTGCAAATGTTCACAGGAGACAACTCGCCTATCTCAAAGACAATTATTAGTCAATATTACATAGAAGAATTAAAGTTTACCACATTACCTTGATTATTGGATGATTGTGCTGAGTTTTCATGTCCGTAACTATTAGTTTTTCTGCATCTTCAGAAGCATGAAACTGCACAAATGCCTCACACTCATCTCTAAATGTTCTGCAAAGCAAGTGAATAAGTATTATTATAATGATAGAGGAAAACTAAATCCAGGGCCAGCAACAAATTAACCATGATTTCTGTGTTTTGTATGCCATGGTTAAAACAGGGATGTTAAAATCTTATAAAGTCACTAGCACTAGTTGTAGCACCAAGTCATCCACTTGTCTAAGTTAGACTGACATAAAACTAAGTGTTACTCATTAATTTCATGGGCAGATCTAGCAATAAAAGTAAAAAAAAATGTCACCAGTGCAAAAGCTAATTTTAGCAGTGTCATGATGGGTGTAGTCCGTGGGGGTAGGTCTAGTAAAGTAAAAATATTGTCACCATTCCAAAAGCTAATTTGTGCAGTGCCATAGCCTATGAGTGTAAGGCCTACAGTAACAGCTGATAGTAGTCATAGTGTAGATTTGAACTGGGGCTGGGCTGGACCCACTGCCACTTTTACTAAGTTAATTCCGATCTAAGCATGTTCACAAATAAAATTTAAAATGACAGCTAGTAGTACTGGTAGCACGTCATTTTGGTCCTGCGTCAGTTCGGACTCAACACAAACGTCGTTTCGGACTCAGTTTGACGACCTTTTGGACTTACTTGGCGACTTTTCGGACTCAATAACGGACTCAATAAAAGCTGAAAACTTCTATGTATGTATTTGTAATAACTGTTTATTCTTTCGTTTTAGATGGGACCGAAGACAGACTATTCACAATAATAAAGAAATTAAACATTGTTAGTTGTGTTTTATTTATCGCATACAGACCTTGAACTTGAAGTAAAACCAATATTACTTGATCGGCGAATACTGTATTTATTTATTTATTTTTATTTTAATAGCTTTATTTATTTACAAATATACACGTATACAAAATTATAATATGTACAATTAACAATATGCATGGACAAACATATAATACATTTTATATTTGTTTATAGATTTTTATATTTAGCTATTTAGCTAATTTTTTCCCCAAAAATCAAACAGATATACAACTGTGCATTATCTATTGTCAGGTATATAATGTAGTGAAACCAAGACGAGATTATTTAATCTCTATTTAATTGATTGGCGATTGTAGTATTTAATCTGAGTATATAATGTAGTGAAACCAAGACGAGATTATTTAATCTCTATTTAATTGATTGGCGATTGTTGTACTTAATCTGAGTAAGTTTAGATTATTGACGATAATTGATTAATTGATCGGCGATTCTTAAAGCCGTTAAGAAACGATTGAGAAAAAAAAACACTGCTACCTTCCTTTTGTTGATTGAGTCAACGCCAGGGGTCCAGTGTCATTTTATTTACTTAATTGTGAGTTATTTTCAGAGGCAGAAAAGATACCCCTCAACATTACCATGATGTCGGAGAGTTCGGTATCGGCATATAGAGGGCAGACTATTTCAACTACGGGATGAATATAACCACCAAGATATTAGTACGAGTAGGCTATTAAAAAAAAAACAAACAGTCACCTGCCCAATAAAGAAAAGTGAAAAAATATTTAAAATAATTGGAAAACTGAAAAAATAAATGAAATGAAATGAAATGGGGTTTAACGTCCTACTGTTCTGCTCCTATACTGGGCTAATGAAGACGGGCATATGCCATACAGTGTGCTATGAGGGAAATTTTGCCCAGGCAGCGGCACTATCGCCTACTCTTATATAGAATTCCAACTGCCAAGGGATCTTTTACGTGCATTCCAATGTTTACACAGAACCTCGGTTTTTCGTATCATCAGAAGGACTAGACAGCTGTCCTTGTCAGGCCTTCCGTCCTGCACTGACAAGGGGAAACCACGTCGGAAAGAAAAAATAAAATGAAACTGATAAAATAAATGTATGTTTTATAAAATAAATGAATACCCGACTGAGACTATTATTTCATCAAATAAATATGCCCGTTGTTATAAATCGCTGTTATCGTTTTATGCTATATTAATAAATAAAATAGTTTATAAAGTAAATTGACATCAGTGTTCTATAATTCCATGTTCTATACCCGAGTCCGAAACGTCACCTACTCGAGTCCGAAACGTCATCTACCCAAGTCCAAAACGTCACCTACCTGAGTCTGAAATGTCGAGGACATATTTTTGGGAGTCCGAAATGACGCGGGACCGAAATGACATGTAATCGTAGTACTTACCTCTGATTAGGTCGTTGACCGGTCGCTTTCGAATTGTATTTACGACCGCCTTTAATGCATGTATATTTTACAGAATAATACTGCAGTCTTTTCTCGGACTCTTCTCTCGCCTTTTTCTCGATCTCATGCTCATTCTCAGACTTTTTCTGAAGTTTTTTATATCTTTTTCGCGCTCCATCAAACGTGGGGTTATCCCGATGCCAAAAGGAAATACTTTGCTCTTTTTCAAATAGTTTTATTTCCATTTCAACTGCTGGAAAAGAGTCAAATTCGCTTCCAATTGAGAAAGGCATGATCGTGTTTTTAATGTTCCAAAATGGTGGAATATATCCGGAATCGGACAACTGCGCATGTACGGCTAAATAGTAAATAAAGTAAGGAACCGTCGGACGGCAAAATATATACTGCGTATAAATTATATTGACTTCAGTCTTCACGTTCAAAGAATAATAATTTTTAATCAATAAAATCACCCATTGTTAACAGCCAATTTCCAGGTTGATGTAATACAAACAGACAGAACGTATTGTTCGATTCAGTGTCGGTGCTTCAGAAACGGCTTGAAAAGAAAAAACAAAAGTACTCCAACTACTGTCTCAACCTAACAACTAAACACGTGAAATCATTATAATGTCGGATGTTTGTATTTTTGGCGAGACTGCAATCAATGGGAGGTAACTCTAGTTAAGCTCTTTTGGTTTTAAAGTTAATTTTAGTCCATTTCTGAGTTGATAAAAAATTGTACTTTTTAATAAAGCGAAAATCTATGGTCAACTCTCATTAACATTGTCAATAATGTTTTTGCCTCTTGCTGAAGATCCATACAGTAGTTGTTTGGAACAATGAGATCGAAAGCTGATACTTATTCAATAATAGGATTAAAATGTAAACTTCCTATTTCGTTTCGCATAACATGTCTTAAAATATATAGATAACCACGAAAATAAGCCGGGAAAGGAAAAAGAAAACATGATATTTTAGAGCCGTTCCATCAGTTGCAAAGTTTTCAAAATGTTTACCCCTCAAAGTATGTCCACTCGATCTAGAACTTCCCCATTTACTCCGACTCCCAGACCAGGATTGAGATCGTCTCAAAATAGAAGAACTTCAGCTCTTTTTACTCCCAACAGAAGAGCTCCAGCGGGCCAATCCCATGGCCGGTTTGTGAAATTATTTATTTTATTTAGGGTTACCAGATAATTCATTAAAGGAACCCAAAACCGGGACAGTCTCAGGAAAACCGGGACATATAATTTTATTGGTTGATTAGAGGTTTACTACAGGCTTTATTATAACACAATACAATCTTATGAATCTATAACCCAAAAAAGGCACGACACTTTGAAGTGAGCAATTTAAAATATTTGAAACCCATGTAATATCAAATGATATGGATTGTGTAACCATTAGTTGTGTTTGAATCAAGTAATAGTTGTGGATGACATCACCAATAGTTGTAGACGACATCACCAATGCCTTTTGGATGACTTCACCAACAGGTGTGGACGGCTTTGCTTGTGCATGACTTGACTGGCACCCGCATATAGGCATGGTAGGCTGGTCTACAGAGGCATTAAATGTGATCACCTTGATCAAGAGCTAAATGACACAGATCAGATTTACCTTTTTTAAAAATATATCATACAAGTAGCACCGACTTTTGATACACAGTAACAAGTAAAAGTATAAATGTGCTTTGTTTTAAATTTTTTTTTTTTTTGCAGCAGTCAGCTGGGATCAAGATCACTAACAACATCACAAATTTTAGATGAGACATCGCAGCATAGAGTCGAAAATTATGGTGTACCACTTCCAGTTCTTATCACAGAAGCTTTGACCCTGGCAGATCGTAAGTCTTTCAATGTCAACAAAACAAATTTACCTTCACAAAATTTCACTCATAGCATACTACATGGTCAATCTGATTAGTGTAGAAGAATAAGTAAGACATTAAAATCATTTCATTTGATAGTTTTGGGGAAAGCTAGCTATGACAAATTGTCCTTAACCAACCTGTTATCAATGGATATATGATTTCAGGACTAAATACAAGAGAAGATCCAAAGCCAAAGGGTGGGTTGGGGGGGGGGGGGGGAGTGTCTTTCTCACCCCCCCCCCCCCCTTCTCTCTTTAAACAGCTCAATATATATGTATGCCTACGTAATTTGGAGTCTATGATGGCCTCATTCATTGTCACCTGTCAAATTTCCTTAACAGGAACATGGAAAACCTCCTCCTGCAAAAATTCCTGGATCCACCCCTGAAATATTATTTTGGATGGAAAATAAACAACTTTAGATAAATAAAGATCATCTGATTCGTAAAAAAGATAAAAAACTTACTCGATTAGTTGGGAGTCGACAGATTTCAAAATTTGTTATTTTAGATACATTTATTTCACACAAAGTATTTTTGTATTAACAGGTAACACAGAAATATCAGTGAAGATAGATCCGTCTGGATGGGCATGGCTTGTTGGTGGCAGAAAACTATTTATCTGGAGATACAAGGCTGGTGGAACTGGACGAGTGAGTCTTCCTTAATACATTCTTATAAGAAAATATGGAACAAAAAGTTTCAAGTGTAAAAAGACAAAATATTTAAAGGTCACAGGAAAAGCTTTAATTTTTAAAAAAAATAATGCAAGTAATTATGTCAACGTATCCTTTCCATAAGATAACACGAACCTGAATGTCAATATTACCTACAACAGGTAAATTTCAACGTAAGTAATTTCTGCCGTTCTCCGTGAGTAGTCCTAACTTTCCCTCAATGAAAAATCTGAGACGTCATTTTAGTCCTTCTGTTCATAGAAATATACCGAAAAGGATATGTTGACATAATTACTTGCAATATTCAAAAAATTTATGAAGCTTTTCCGGTGACCTTAAACCAGCATGTTGGTATAATTTTCTGAAGAGCACAATTTGTCCTGTTTGCTGACTGATTAATTTTGATAATGGGTCTCCAATTTAATTTCCTGACCACTGTTCAAAAATTAATCATTATACATCAATAATCAATTGGGTTGTTTATTTTATAACAGCGATCAAGAAATTAAACGCTTGTAAATTGGACACTCATTATCAAAGTTGAATGGTGAGCTTTAAAATAGACACAAATAAAAATTAGATGATTTTTGGTGATTTTAAAAGATTTTTATTAATTTTGAAACAGATATTTGATATTAAACGAATGTAAAAGAAGTTGGTGCTAAATACACAAGATTAAATGATACCCATTTTACAGTGATACCTTTTTTGACAAGTGATTTTTTGTTTTAAATACATTTTTATAAAGACAATAAATGATGTTTAGACATCCAAAACTGTTCTTATCAACAATGTTTCGATTTCATTATCTGTCGAATAGACCCCAAAAAAAGGAATTTAATCAGGAATATTATTGACATGAACAGTCGGAACGTGAATTAAATATGGAAATTATTGAGAAACAGTGGCCTTTTTTTGTAGTTTTTGTGAAAATGGACTAATAACCACAGAGCATTGGGATTAGATCCCGCGTTATGAAATACAGTATTATCAATTAAAATTATGAAATAAAGTGTATTTATTTATAAATGTTAGCCACAGAGTTGCATATAATTGACAGGGATGTAAGGGCCTAATATAATTTATTAAAATATATTTACAGGGTATACAGTGTAAAGAATTGATTTTACCCCAGAGTGATTTAGCTCATGATGCAGCTAGAGTATGTGTTTTACCTCATTATAACCACACCCAACCACCAGCATGTGTTGCTGTCTCACCAGAAGGTGTTGTAAGATACTGGTCTAATATAGCCTATGAAAGTTCAACCGCGGAGATCAGTGCTGAATTAAAGGGTGAAGAAACAGATTGTGTTGTTAATTGTCAGGTAAGTTGGTATTATTCTCTTATTTTAAAGGGGGGTGGATGCCTGAATGGTTAGCATGTGCGCGCTGTATGATAAGGTTTGCCAACTGACAGGGTTTCGATTCCCTGGTTGTACATGATAAGGAGTAGGGTCACCTGTCCAACATCGTGGGTATTCTCCATTTTCCTCCCACTGCTAAAGACCCCTACGCGCATGCAAATTATTGAAATAAAATTAAACCATATGTTAGTCCCGAAATGACCTTGTTTGTGTTGAGTGGACGAACCCCATCTCTTTACTTTTCTGATGTTTAAAAAATTGTTTTACAATTTAATTTGCAGAAGGAAAAAAGTTAATATCTGGGGCTCATTAAGCCGCATCGATGTCATCCCTATCAGTGATTGTAGCAGCGTAGCGAATATTCATTACTGATCAGTGTGGCAGTTCTACTATATTGTAGTCAAATAAATACAGGATTCCTATCATCATTGTTTATATGATAATAATTAATTAAATTATATTTCAGCCGTATGGATGTCTTTTAGCAACGACTACCAGCTCTTTGGTTCTGTTAGTACCATCACTAGGCCAGGTAATTATATAATTATTATCAGTATAGTACCATCACTAGGCCAGGTAATTATCTAATTATTATCAGTATAGTACCATCACTAGGCCAGGTAATTATATAATTATTATCAGTATAGTACCATCACTAGGCCAGGTAATTATCTAATTATTATCAGTATAGTACCATCACTAGAACAGGTAATTATATAATTATCAGTACCATCACTAGAACAGGTAATTATATAATTATCAGTACCATCACTAGAACAGGTAATTATATAATTATCAGTACCATCACTAGAACAGGTAATTATATAATTATTATTATCTGTTAGTACATGGTGGCTCAGTGAGTAAGGTGCTGGTTCACTAACCAGGAGGTCCCGGGTTCCATCCTGGTGTTGGCCGAGAAAGTAGCTTGGCTTCCTCTTGTCAGTGGTGCAGTCAGGGGGCCTGGCAAGGAACAGTGTCTAATTGTTTGGAAGGTAGGTCCTGTGTACACAGTGGCGTCCATGTCAGGATTGTAATTCCATAAAGAATAGATGTTCACTCTGCTAACCAGAAAAATTTCTTTCATAGCACATTGCATTCCCGTCTTCATTAGCCCCACTGATGCAGGCAGGGTGGCTAAGTGAGTAAGATGCTGGCCCGCTAGCCTGGAGGTTCGCGGGTTACCTCTCGGTGTTGGCTGAGAAAGTTCATCATCATTATCCTGTGTGGTTTTCTCTTGTCAGTGATGCAGGACGGAGGACCTGACAAGGACAGCTGTCTAGTCATTTGGATGGGACGAAAAACTGAGGTCCCCAGTACACGTTGGCATGCACGTAAAAGAGCCCTTGGGAGTTCGAATTTGATATAAGAGTAGGCCGTAGCACCGCAGTCCGTTCAATATTTCCGCTCATAGCACACTTAATGGCATATGCCCGTCTTCATTAGCCCAGTTGCAGCAGAACAGTAGGACGTTAAACCCCCATTCATTTTCAATCGTGCAGAAAAGTATTACATGAAACCCCATTTTATTCATTTCCAGTCTAATTGTCTTTCTGTTAAATTGTTTTTTTTTTCTCAGAATGCCATAGTGTGTCATCCTCTCAAGTCAGCTCAAGGAGTGTTTGCTGGTTTTGGTAGAAGAATGTCATCATTTATATTTGGAGCTACCCCATCACAGACGACCGGAGCTGTAAGTTGATACATGTAATTAAAAAATATGTTAGAATGGAAGATGGACAATAATCATTTGAAATCTCTGATTGTCATTTGAGTGACTTTTAATCCCTTGTAAACTACACTATTGTAAAAGTTGAATCTATAAAAAGAATATCAGTGATCCAATTCCTTTCAGTTCTTGGAGAGAGAGGAAGAGAGAAATGGGGTTTAACGTCCACTCGACACAAACTAGTTCATTTCGGGACTAACATACGGTTTAATTTTATTTCTATAATTCATTTGTGCGTTTTATTTCTCGATCACTATTAAAAAATAAACACCACAATTGATTATTGATTACTTTTTGAACAGTGGTCAGGTAATTAAATAATTGTAAATTGGAGACTCATTATCAAAATTAAATGGTCAGCTTTAAACTGGACACAAGTACAAATTGAATGATTTGGGGTGATTTTAAACGATTTTTACAAATTACAAACAAAGATTTGATATTAAACAAATGTGAAAGAAATTAGTGCTAAATACACAAGATTAAATGATACCCGGGTTACAGTGCATGTACGAGTGGAGACTCCAAACCATGCCACTTGACTCAATGACAGACTAAATGATGCAATGCGCACCCCCCCCCCTCCACCCATGTTCAGTTAATTATTTACAAAGATATGACGAATTTAAAAGTTGTCAATATTCAACATCCTTTGTACACGTAGATGTAAGATACAGTTAACACAAGCTAATGCCCCCTGTAATCTTAGCTAAAAATAGTTTTAATTATAATATTTTGTTGTTTCAGCCATTACAAGCTGTAGTATCAGGACCAGAAGAAGATGATCAGAGACCATTTTATGTTTTATCAGGAACTTTTCTACAGAAGTGGAATTTATCAGATACACAAACGGAAAGGGTAAGATTCAGAATAAATATACGGTGACTTGCTGATCTTGAAAATCCTGGGTTCGGTCCCGTTGTTCACCAGGAAGGTTCCTAAGTACGGCGCTGGCCCGCTAACCAGCAATCTGATAGATATTTATATGGTGTCTTGCCGAGTACGGTGCTAGCCCGCGAACCAGAAATCTCACGAATATTTATATGGTGGCTTGCCGAGAATGGCGCTGGCCCACTAACCAGCAATCTGATTAAAACACAGATCCTATTTCTTTTCGTTTTTTATAGTTCAAAATTTCATTTTACTTGTCTTTACTACACTAGGATCTGGAAGAGTTGTTATATAAGCCACATTCTGGTTAATGTGAGGGATTAGCCAATGAAACGGTCTGTTATGGCGAGTTTTTGGCGTTAGGTGCAAGGAACTGTGGATAAACCGCTTGAAAAGTCAATGCTGATTGATCAATCAATGATTGACGTCATAGGATCAAATGTCGCTCTTATGACCCCTGACGAATTCCAACTGCCAAGGGATCTTTTACATGCACGCCAATGTATACACAGGACCTCGGTTTTTCGTCCCATCCAGACAACTAAACAGCTGTCCTTTTCAAGCCCTCCATCCTGCACCACTGACAAAGGGAAAACATGTTAAAGATTCTTTGACAACTGGTTTTTGAAATAAGAATAGCCTGTAAGGACACAGATTAAATTAGACCTAAGCTTGGAAGAGAATGATCTTATAGTTGAAGTTTTTATGTATAATATTTATCAAAGATAATTTTTATTCCAGCTTTCATTTCAAGTAGATGTTGATAGATTATACAGAGAGGCTTTAGCTAAACAATTATGGGTAAGACACTAATAATACAAAGTTCTATCTAAGCATTTGATGCTTTGGGACACGATTACTTTGATTTTAATTTAGAGAGAGTGGTGAATTGTGGTTTATAGTTTCATTACAATAAATAATACGTTAATTAAGTTTGATAATGAGAATTGGCTACGGCAGATAAGAGATAAGCAATGTGACTGTTCATAGCGAGTAGTAGGTCGTATAGTTTTTGGGGGATTGAGATGAGAGACATCAACCTCAATGTCGGCTTGTTATATATTCCTTTGAATGAATTGAAATAATGGTATTAATGGTATTATGCAGTAAAGATTACTTGGCTGTTTGAAAATAAAAAGATATAAGGCGCAAACACATAATTGATTAAGTTTTCCGTCTTTTCAAGGGTCAAGATTCAGTTCAGTTGCCACAACTTAAAACATGGCTACTAGACATGCAGACCACCAGGTAAAAATATTTTATTCTCATTCTTAAGTCATTGGGTGAACATGTTGAAGTAGCTAAGTCTCTAACTCAATATCATCCAAAATCTTCGACATTGAAAACACGAATTAATTGTCGGTTTAAATCAACAATGATGTTATGATCTTACCGGGAAAAGATGGCCTTCTGATATCCAATATTTAAGACAAAATAAACATTTTACCATTGGTACACAAATCGTGTACCATAATGCGTTTCAGCGTCATTTGTAATAAGGGACACAAAAAACGAGGCTAGGCACATTCCACATGTCATGTTAAACGGTGACGCTATATTCTCTTGTGGAGAGCATGCGCAATAAATACTATCGGCGAAGGCTGGAATATCCAGACGCTAGAGATTTCCATTCGATTGAGACTTCTGGCGTATTTCGCCGAACCTAACTGATTAGAAATTCAGTAAAAATAGAAATGATTGAATGTAAATCAATTTATATACATTCATATTACATTATTGTATGCGTTGCGACCCATTTGTGTCGATTTCTAGATCCCAAATATTAGCAATTGAACTCCTTTAAATAAGACCTTTTATTTTTATACACCTGCATTAAAGACAAAATATGCGGCAACACTTATGGACTTCTTAGATTACTTACCTTTTGGGGGTGTTTTGTTGCCTGGCAACCTATTTTGTATTACAGTTTTAGTGTGATGATATTATCACGCTTTTTGATATAATTGTTTTGGTGTGATGTGATGGTATTATCACATGTGTTTTGTTATTATAGTTTTGGTGTGATGATATTAGGAGCTGGTATTAATATAGAATCATCAGATACAGTTCATTTCTCTGTCAGTAAGTTACACTGGTTTAAGCTCATCTAATCTTATTTCATGAGTAATTTAGCGATTGAGTGCATTATAAACACAAAACACATTTGTATTTATAATAAACAACAAACATGATTCAAATCATGTGAATAGATCTGATGGCCGGTCGTAAATGTCCTCTGAGTGATATTTATTGACTGAGCACATTAAACATACAACAACCATTTATATATATAAAAAGAAAGTGTTGGGTTGGGTTACATTATAAAGTGCCTAAATATGATGTTCTGGCAAGTTATAGTGATTATTTGAATCACAAACATGCTAATATATACTGAGCGCCATGGAAAACGCATCACTTTTTTTCCCCAAATATTTTATTAGTAGGTGGTTTTGTATATATAATATTGTGCAATACTATGAACTATTGTTTCACGCAATGCTCCCAAATGCAAAAAATATCGGCACGTGTGCAAAAAAAAAATTGCACGAGATGCATATGAAAAACCCAATATTCACGTGCAGCATTGTATGTGAGCCCTTTAAAAGCATGTTTTCAACTTAATGTGCAGTACATGAACTGTGAAACGTCAATCTGTCGTAATTTGTTGTTGGACGTGTGAAGGAATCGAGCTAGAGATGCCGAGACTTACTGAAAATCAACGGAATGAAGCCATGGGAATGTCCAGGGCTGGCATGTCTACACGTGCTATTGCCAGACACTTCAATTGTCATCAGTCCACTATTGTAAGGTTGGTGGAATGTGTTCGAGTTACTGGATCAACACGTGATCGTCAACGTCCTGGTCCACAACACGTTACAACCCAGGCTGAAGACCGCTACATCCGGGTCACTCATCTGCGTGACAGATTCCGCCCAGCGACTCGAACAGGTGCAGCAGTCGTCGGAAGACAAGGACCAGTAAGTGCCAACACTGTAAGACGTCGTCTAAGAGAAGTAGGACTCCGTGCACGACAACCTTATGTTGGAGCTATCCTCAGGGATCATCAACGTCAGCGGCATTTGATAGGGGCTCAAGGACACCAGACATGGAAAAGAGTAGACTGGCAAAGTGTGCTCTTCAGTGATGAGCGTCGCTTTCATCTTTATCACGCTGATGGCCGTCAACGTGTGTGGAGACGTCTTGGGGAACGTCTTGCAGACTGCTGCATCTTCGAAACAAATCGATGGGGTGAGGGAAGTGTAATGGTGTGGGGAGGCTTCACATTTCATCACCGTACCGCCCTACACATTTGCAGGGGTCGCGTTAATGCTGTAGCCTACAGTGATGATGGCCCGTGGAGGACACACGCGCTACTGACATCTGTGTCGTACTTTTGGTTTTGACCCCTCTGACTTTGTACCCTTGATTACAGATTAAACATCCATGAGTGTACAAATGTGTTGTTATTGATGTGTTCCCATTTGAATATTGTTCACAATAAGAAGCAAAATAAATAAGATATGTTTACAGGATCATTTTGTTATATGAAAAACTAAGTGATGCGTTTTCCATGGCGCTCAGTATATTAGGGTTTTGTTGGTCTTGTCTGTAGTCATATAGGCAGCATGTTAAAGATGACCCCTGGGGTCAGAGTAGGTCATAGTGCCAGAGTAGACCATAGTGCCACTGTCAGCACAAGATTTCCCTTATAGCCCACAGAATGGCATATGTCTGTTCACAATAACCAGGATTGAGCAGAAAAGTAGCACAAGGCTCTGTGTTGGGTCAAAAAAGTGCTAACACTCAAAGTAACAATGCAATAAATAGATTATATTCAAGTGTTTGTTTTATTGATTTTAGTGTTATTTTATGTTTCTGTTATTTTAGTGTCATTAACAACATCCAGTGATGTACCACCAACATCACTTGATCATTTTACAAACTTAGATCATGTTGAAAGATACTCAGTAAGTTTTCACCATTTTTTAAGAATGTGTTTCCCAACCTGGGATCCATGCAAAAATGTTTTGAGTGGCTGCGATGTCTAAAGTGGTCCTCAGTGGGAATGGGGGATCAGTGAAAATATGGTAGCCAATTTTGCAACATTCATCATCTTATGCGATATTAAAATCAAGCCGGGACATTATCAAACATTAATACTTTTGTTTTGTTTTCAAAATTAAAAGTTGAATAAACAATGGAAGAACATTATAGCATGGATTAAGTAGTGAAAAATTAAATATTGTCCAAAAAAGTCACGTTCATTGGTGGAAAAGCTGGATTTAATATCACTGCCTTGTGAACAAACTGTTGTTGTACTACTGTATTTATAGTGAGACTTGTATCTATAACATTATTATCTATATATACGCAGGAAACTGATGAAGACATGATTCTGGGATATCAACTATTGGTACCGTGTTCAGGAAATAATTCAGCCTACGTTTACAACAAGAAGACTATATTTATGGTGCAGTCTGATGGTACGTTTAACTAAATTAAAAATCAGTATTAAAACATATAAAAGTGGTAGAAGACTACAACAACTCTCGTAAAGTAGGTCTAAAGTAGCTGGAGGCTAGTAGTCGGAGGACATTTAAACAGGGATCTCAGCGATACACAAGGATTTAGTCCGAAACGTTTAGAATAAATTAGTTTATAATCTACCAGGAGTTCGTATATCTTCACTTTTTAAGGGGGTTGCCTTTCTACCTATTAAAACATATAATTGAAAGCAATGCTCTTGGTCAGTGGAACAGTACAACATTAAACCCCATTTCATTTCATTTTCTTGATCAGTAAAAAGGAGGTGTTGTGGAGTGGGGGGGGGGGGTAGTCTTGCACTTGAGGGGTTGGGTGGGAGAATGGTTAGCACATGCATGCTGTATCATAAGGTCTGTCATTGAGTCAACTGGCATGGTTTCAATTCCCCGCTGACAAGGAGTAGGGTCGCCTGTCAAACCTCGTGTGTTTTCTCTGGGTCCTCCGGTTTCCTCCCACTGCTGAAGACCTCTACACAGAAGCGAATTATGGAAATAAAATTGAACCATATGTTAGTCCCAAAAAGATCTAGTTTGTGTCGAGTGGACGTTAAACTCTCTCTCTCTCTCTCTCTCTCTCTCTCTCGTCTTGCACTTTAGATCCTAAGGTCTGTCATTGATTCAAGTGGCATGGTTTTGATCTCGATATTTTTGTTTTTCAAGAAGAGGGTTCAACTACAGATTGTAATGTGTTTTGTTTCTCTAGGGGAAGGTTCAACTACAGATTGTAATGTTGTTGTATTTTGTTTTTCTAGGAGAAGGTTCAACTGCAAACTTGAATGTTGTTGTACTTTGTTTTTCTAGGAGAAGGTTCAACTACAGATTGTAATGTTGTTGTATTTTGTTTTTCTAGGAGAAGGTTCAACTATAGATTGTAATGTTGTTGTATTTTGTTTTTCTAGAAGAATCTTCAACTACAGATTGTAATGTTGTTTTATTTTGTTTTTCTATGAGAAGGTTCAACTATAGATTGTAATGTTGTTGTATTTTGTTTTTCTAGAAGAATGTTCAACTATAGATTGTAATGTTGTTGTATTTTGTTTTTCTAGAAGGTTCAACTACAGATTGTAATGTTGTTTTATTTTGTTTTTCTAGGAGAAGGTTCTGCTACAGATAGAATGGAGTTACAAGGTGTACATGATTCTTATCTAGGAGCAGGTAAAAATACATTTAATTTAACAAGTAGATGTTAAAGATTTATTAATATCTGAATACATGTACATTTTATATCAAATCCAAATCTTTACAAGTGATATGGAGAGACATGGTGGCTCAGTACATATAGGGGGTTGGATGACTGAATGGTTAGCGCGTGCGTGTAGTATCATAAGGTCTGTCATTGTGACAACTGGCATGGTTTCGAAGCCCCGGTTGTACGTGATAAGGAGTAGGGTCGCATTCCAATCTGATTAAAATACAGATCTATATTTGTTTTTTTTATATACTTTTGATGGCCTACACTACATGAAGATCTGACAAGTTGTAGTTGGAGATCGCATCAGGGGTCATACAAGCTGCTTTTGACTGTATGACGTCAAGACATTGATTAATCAATCAGCGTTGATGTTTCTAATAGTGTACTCACAGTTCCGTGCACAGGACGCCAAAAACTCGCAGTAACAGACCGTTTCATTGGCTAATTCCTTACATCAACTAGAACACGAGTTAAATAACAACTCTTCCAGATCCTAGTGTTGTGAAGACAAGTAAAATGAAATTTTGAACTATTAAAAATGAAACGAAATAGGATCTTTGTCTTAATCAGATTGTGTAACTTTTGAACCGAAGTTAATCATTTGGGATTGATGTTTAAAAGTGTTTAAAAATCCCTCTAAAAACACTGAGATCCTTTACAGTTGGTGTTTCTCTATTTTTTCAGGTAGTACCGATGGCAAGGCCCTGTTTTTCTCCAATACACATGGTTTATTCTGTGTGTCACCTTTAAATCATGTTGATAACAGGTCAGTTGTAATTTTTAATGTCAGATATGTGTTCCATACGTACTACTAGTACTGTTTCTTATTGTAGTCAGGTGTAGTGCTTGTCAGGCTGACAAGGATAGTGTTACCTAGTCATTAGGATGGGAAGAAAAAAACAAACTCAAACCTTGTTATACATTGGAGATCACTAAAAAGAACCCTAGATTGTTAGACTATCATTTAATCTTGTGTATCTAGCACTAATTTCTTTCCCAGCCTGACAAGGAAAGTTTTACCTAGTCGTTAGGATGGGAAGAAAACCCAAACTCAAACCGTGTTATACAATGGAGTTCACGTCAACGAATCCTAGATTGTTGAAAATGAAATAAAATGGGGTTTACTGGACTAATGGAAACGGACATACGCCATACAGTGTGCTATGAGGGAAATTTTGCCCCGACAGCGGCACTACGGCCTACTCTTATATCAAATTACAACTGTCAAGGGATCTTTTATGTGCACGCCAATGTGTACACAGGACCTCTGTTTGTTGTCCCATCCAAAGGACTGTACTTGGTCCCATACCTGACCCTATGTCCTGTAGATTGTTGGACTTCAACAGAATGTTTTCTGTTCAAAATTCACCTCACTAGCATATGTGAGAAACCATATGTTAGTCTCAGAAATGACTTCTTTCTTTAAAGATACATTATGGAAGATTCGGTAACGAGTTGGCAGTTCTCACTATAATAGTTAAAAACTAGTTAATGTAAAGGCAATTTGGTGAAAATTTCATTCAAATTGATCCACTATGAACCGAGAACTAAGCAACTGAAATTCCCATAAGCCTCGGTCATCATTACTAAAGTCAGTACGATAAACAGCATAGTCTCGATTATCCATTTAATCATTTAATCGAGAAGGAAAGTTTTGCAGTAAATCGGCTTACAATCCACTAAAGATCGCAGGCTAGCACTGCCATCTAGAGTTGATTATGGTCTGGATAGGTTAATTAATGTCTAGTTAATAATTTAGATAAGATTTCAGGCCTAAAGAAAGACCTGAAATAGGCAGATTTAGCTCTTGCATAATGTATTTTTAACTTACCAGTCTGTTAACGGTTTAGCCGATAAATATCTCTGTGACTTATATGTACATCCTCTAGTGGTTTACCCAAAGTTCCGTGCGCCTCACGCCAAAAACTCTTCCAAATTCTAGTATAGTAAAGACAAATAAAAGGAAATTTTAAACTATAAAAAACAAAATAGGATCTGTGATTTAATCAGATTGGCTCTGTTCCTGCTTTGAGTCTAAAGACATACCTGTTTGAACTCTGTTATTAAATATTAGCATAAACTGTGGTGTCGTAACCCTTGAATAGGATGAGTCGGGCACTTCGAGCAGGCTTTCGGAATATATTGTTATAAATTCCATTCCTTTCAAAGATGAATTATAAATATTATAATATGATGTTTTTTTTATATTTTCAGTATATCAGAAGAATCAGGACATGATGTGTTTTCACAGAATGATGGGGTCAGTATTATCATGATTTATAGTAGACCTATTAAAACCGACGGGCCTTCAAATTTCCCCGGAGCTATTTCTTTAGTCTATTTCCCCATTTTGACTAACTAGGCTGGCAAGCTCATGTCGATGTTTCGCTACAAACAATCCTAGGGATTTATTTCTTCATAATTTAAGCAACGTTTCCACTTTAATTGGATTCAATCAAATTTAAAAAAGATCTATTAAAAGATTTTTTCCAACACTTATATGTGACGCTGGCTTGTTCATATCATCTACACAGAGATCGCTGAAAATGTTCAATTCTTCGTATCTTTGTATACTGAATGAATCTGAACTGTTTCCGGACTGGTATTTTTTCTAGGGATTCAACTTTTACAATATTGCAGTTGGTAAGGGATTCAAAATCCCTCAAATGACCTTCAGCTTCTTTTAATTTGTCAGTACATATATATAGAGTCAATACAGAAATGAAATGAAATGGGGTTTAACATCCTACTGTTCTGCTCCGACTGGGCTAATGAAGACGGACATATACCATACAGTGTGCTATGAGGGAAATTTGCCTGGACATCGGTGCTACAGCCTACTCTTATATCGAATTCCAACTGCTGAGGGATCTTTTATGTGCACGCCAATGTGTATATGGGACCTCGGTTTTTGCCCCATCCAAATGACTATACAGCTGTCCTTGTCGGGTCATCCGTCCTGCACCACTGACAATGGGAAACCACACCTGAAAATCCTGATGAACTTTCTCGACCTATACCAGGAGCGAACCTCCAGGATCTCCAGACCAGCGAGGCAGCATCTTACTCACTTAGCCACTGTTGTTCCACAGTCAATACAGAATGTTGTCTCTTTTTTCCAGTCTATTCTAGGAACTAATTTACCACAGGTTGTAGAGTTAAGTCAGAGTGAAGATAAATCGTCCAGACTGAAAGCAGCATTTCTTAGTTCTATCAGCGGAAACATGGTTGGTATTAAACAAATTGTCTTTGGGGCAGTTGTCCTGCTCCCAACGGAATCATATAGAAATGTCATGATGTTAATTCAGTTAAATACTTTTTAAAAGGCAGAGGTGTTTTAATGCCTATTTTTATTTCTTAAAAATGAAAAGGAAAGAAGTTTAATGTCAACACTCTACTTTGGACAGTTTAAGTCTTGCATATGTAGGGTACCCTACCATAAATAAATATCTCCAAATATCTCGACAATTACACCATAATATTTATATATATACCAATCCTTAAATCTGTTTGGCACATTTATAGTCCCTAAATAAACAGCCATGTTGTATTTAATAAGCTATGATCATTTAACCATCGATAAATAATAGACTGAATTAAAATCGTTCCGAGTGTCGTCCATAACAGTCAAGGGTACTTTTACATTCACACCAATGTGCAAATGGGTTCACCTCAGTTTTCGTCACCACTGCCCAACAACAGCAGCCTCTGACAAATTACAACTGGGCTTGAAAAATCCTTCAGTATCTTCTTGGCATATGCTAGTTGAGCTGCCCCATATGTGGACTGGATTCGTTCTAAACAAGAGTAGTCTTTCTGTAATTCTGTTTTTCATAATTAATGAATTGTTTTCCACAGCAACAAGCACAAGCCATATTAACAGATCTACTTCCTGCCGACACAGGAAGTGATGAAAGTAGAGGAAGTGAGGTGGATCAACTTGTTGTTGGTTTAAGTCGTGATGTCATAGATGATTATCCAGCTTCGGATCCAAGATGGGCCAAAAATCTCAGACATGGTAAATTTATCTCATTTTTAGGGAGAAGTCACCGGGGGGGGGGGGGGGGGGGGGTATTTTCTTTTTTGAATAATATGACAATTTTCATCTTATCCTAACCATAAAAATGTTTTTATATTTAAAATATATTTTTACATGATTATATATAAAATATATTTTTACATGTTTTTATATATTAAATATATTTTTGCATGTTTTTATATATTAAATATATTTTTCATATTTTTTATATATAAAATATATTATTACATGTTTTTATATTTATAAAAAAAAGTAAATTTAACTGTAGTCATTGTGTTCAAAGCTTAAATTCTTTGAACTTATAGTTTTATGCCATGTAAGTTCTTCAGCTGGTCAATTTCACTGTAGTTCAGACAAGAGGAAGAGCCACGCTGTCTAAGTGACTAAGACTCTGGCTCACTGGCCTGGAGGTCGTAGGTTCGCTCCCAGTGCTGAAAAAATTCATCAGGAATTTCCTGTGTGGTTTACCCGAGTCAGTGGTGCAGGACGAGGGCTTGACAAAGATAGTTGTCTAATCGTTCAAATGGGACAAAAATCATGGTCCTGTGTACACATTGGTGTGCACGTAAAAGGTCCCTTGGCAGTTGGAATTCGATATAAGAGTAGGTCGTAGCACTGCTGACTGGGCAAAATTTTCCCCGTAGCACACTATATGGCGTTTGTCCGTCTTTATTAGCTCAGTTGGAGCAGAACAGTAGGATGTTAAACCCTATTTCATTTCAATTCAAGACTGGTACGTGAAAGCAGGATTGAAAAGACAGGCCTTGATTTAACAACCAGTTTGAGGTCCATGCAATCCGATTAAAATACAGATCTATATGTCGATCTGACCGGTTATAGTGGAAGGTGGCGTCAGAGGAAATAATAGCGGCTTTTGACCCTATGACGTCAGACATTTGATTTATCAATTGGCGTCGATGTTTGAAGTGGGACATACCCGCAGTTCTGTGCACCTCAAGCCAATAACTTGCTGTAAAAAAACGTTTTATTGGCTAATCCCTCCCATCATCAAGAACTCAGGTTATATAACAACTCTTCCAGATCCTAGTGTAGTAAAGACAAGTAAAATGAAATTTTGACGTGTAGTAACTTTATTGTTAATTTTTAGGGGGGTTGGATGGCTGAATGGTTAGCGTGCGCGCGCTGTATCATAAAGTCTGTCATTGAGTCGACTGGCGTGGTTTCGAATCCCCGGTTGTACGTGACAAGGAGTAGGGTCGCCTCTCCAACCTCATGGGTTTTCTCCGGGTCCTCCGGTTTCCTCCCACTGCTAAAGACCCCTATGCACAACGAATTATTGAAATAAAATTAAACCATATGTTAGTCCTGAAATGACCTAGTTTGTGTCGAGTGGACGTTAAACCCCATTTCTCTCTCTGTTAATTTTGATTGTATTTTAGGGGAGATAACCGGTGGTTCAAGTTCACTGATTATAATACAACAATTAAAAGATAAAGAAAAAGCTCACAGTTATCTGATAGCATTCCTGAAAAAACTACATATATGGGAACGGGTAAGTTGTAATACTTTTCACAAACTTTATTATGTAAGGCAAGAGCTGAAAGTTATTCTTGAGCGGGTCTGCGATGTCAAGAGGCAACAGGTGAAAAATTGAGTCCATGAAGAATATATAACAAAAGTATAATTTTTTATGAAATTATTGGTATTCAGGCATTGAGTTTCAGCATGATATGTTAAAGGTCACGGAAAAGCTTCATAATTTTTTTAAAATGATGCAAGTATAGTACGAACCCAAATGTCAATATTACCTGCAACAGGTAAATTTCAACTTTGGTAATGGCGGAAATTACCAACGTTGAAATTTACCTTAGGCAGGTTACATTGACATTCGGGATCGTGCTGTACTTATGGAAAGGATATGTTGACATAATTACTTGCATTAATTACAGTTAACCCTATACATGATATATTTATTATTTACAGTTAACCCTAAACATGATTTATTTATTATTTATAGTTAACCCTAAACATGATATATTTATTATTTACAGTTAACCCAAAACATGATATATTTATTATTTACAGTTAACCCTAAACATGATATATTTATTATTTATCGTTATCCCTAAACATGATTTATTTATTATTTACAGTTAACCATTGTTCCAGAACATGGTAGTTATATGTCAACAACGTCTCTTCTGTGTGAACACGCTGAGAAATTAACAGCTGCCATCGCTCTTAGACAGCTACATAGCGAGTAAGTTAACAAACACTCCCTAAATGAACAGATTTGATTTGAGGACTGACAGATAATGTTAGAATCTTGATCTAGCTCAGAAGGGCTTCTCTCATAAAACTGATGAAAATATATCACTACCAAGAAAATTACCGGCAACTTGAATAGAGTTACTTCCCTTATGGCCATATCAAATTCGAAAAGGACAACGTAAAATAGAATGTTATCTCTTTAATCTTGTGATCTCTTATTTGATACACCTGTCTTGGTGACCATAAGATTAACATAAATTTATAGAGAGAGAGAGAGAGAGAGTAGAGAGAGAGAGAGAGGGCTTAATGTCCACTGGACAAAAACTATGTCATTTCGGGACTAACATTCAATTTTATTTCAACAATTAGCTTACTCGTAGGGGTCTTCAGCAGTGGGAGGAAACCGGAGAAAGCCATTGCTTTCATCTTTTTATTATAATGACTGCTTTTGGTGGTTGAGAAATATGTCTTTTGATTATCAATTTGATTACAAGCCTTAGATTTTGTAAAACAGAGTGGCTATTCTTACGACGAGTCTGAGCCAAGTTTAGAACAAATTCCAAAATGGCTGCCAATCTCCCCAACACCAGCTTTGAAAAAGGAGCAGTATTTTCAACATTTTCAGAACTGAAGGCAGCAATTAAGAGATGGTAAGGGTTAGGGTTAGAACTATTTTTACGACTATTCAGTTTTTAACTTCGCCGATGGAGGGCTGTGAAAGCATCGCCGTAACAATAGCCTGAGGACTATTTTTACGACTCGTCGTAACAATAGCCACTGCCTTTGTAAAAATACATTTCACTGCCCAATTTATGATCTGATTATCATGGAAAAATTAACCCACGTTTCTCTTTTAGTCATCATACAGATATTATAGATGAATGTATCGCCCATGTGTTTAAAATGAGGAGAGAGAGTATGGCTACTTTACCTGTTGGTCTTACACCTCAAGATGTCTTTTATAGACAGGTAGGTTTAAATGTTTATACTGTTGTTTAAATACAGGTAGGTTTATCACCCCAAGATGGCTTCTATAGACAGGTAGATTTTAATGGTAGTTGTCTTCAGTAATGCTACATGTTCTTAGTTTTTTTATATTTCTGTCCAACCTCATGAGTTTTCTCCGGGTCCTCCTGTCTCCTCCCACTGCTAAAGAACCCTACGCGCAAATGAAATATTGAAATAAAATTGAACCATAGGTTAGTCCCGAAATGACCTAGTTTGTGTCGTGGATGTTAAACTCTATCTCTCTCTCTGTCTCTCTCTCTCTCATATTTATTTGGAGCCATGGTGGCTCAGCGTGTAAGACGTTGGTTCACTAACTTGGATGTACCGTCTTCGTTCCCTGTGTTGACAGAGAAAGTTCATTGGAATTTTCCGGCGTTGTTCCCCCTGGTCATTGGTGCAGGATGGAGGGCCTGGCTAGGGACAACGTATAGTCCTTCGAATGGGATGAAAAACTGGGGTCCCGTGTACACATTTGCATGCACGTAAAAACAAACCTTTCACAGTTTAAATTCGATATAAGAGTAGTCTCCAGGGGTGGATCCAGGATTTTCAGAAAGGGGGGGAGCGTGGCTTTCTCGCGAGAATATATGGGGTAAAAAATTGTTCGCCACCGCAAAAAATAGTGGGGGGGGGGGCCCAAGTTTTGTGTTGATCAAGTTGATGTGAAACCCAGTTTCTCTCTTTTAAAATCGCAATGATTATTAAATGTTTGATTATATTATATTTAAGGTGTCTAAGATGATTTAATCCCCACGATTGTTAAATGGTTTATATTATATTGTTTTTAAGGTGTCTAAGATAGAAGATATAATAGAAGCTCTTGTGGAGCTTGAATCTGATACTTTAGAAAGAGAACAATCACCACATAAACGTGTTACTTTAATAACAGCCGTTAATGCTGTTATAGAGGTCAGAATTTATATTTTTATATCCACATGTCATGGTGGCTTAGACGTGTAGGACTGGTTTCGATACCAGCATTAGTCGATATACCTTGGAATTTGGGAGCCTTGCTTCCTCTTGTCATTGGTGCTGGACGAAGGGGCCTGGCAGCAGAGGTGGGAATTCGAGTCCGACTTAAAGCAGATCAATGACCCGAGGGTGCATAACTCTAACTTATCTTGTTTGCCATGAATTGCTGACTCATTTGATGAGGGGGGTTGGATGGCCAAATGGTTAGCACTTATATTTTTATATCCACATGTTATGTCGTGGGAGCCATGGTGGCTCAGTGTGTAGGACTGGGTGCGATACCAGAATTAGTTGAGATAGTACTGTAACCCAAGTATCATTTAATCTTGTGTATTTACCATTAATTTCTTTCAAATCATTGTTTAAAAACACCAAAAATCATTTAATTTGTACCTGTGTCCAGCAATTGTGCATAACTCTTACTTACCTTATTTGCTATGAATTGTGAACTCATTTGATGAACTGGGAACTTGAACGGGACGCAGGCTTTGTGAAGACTTGGGACTCGACTCGGATTCAAGGTGTGGCAACTTGTTCCGAACTCTGTCTGGCTTGTTAGCCTGGAGGTCGGGTGTTCGATCCCTGCATTGGCCGAGAAAGTTCATCCAGATTTTCCGGCTTGGTTCTCCCTTGTCAGTGATGCAGGACGAATGGCTAGACGTTCGGATGGGACAAAAAACTGAGGTTCCATGTACACATTGGTGTGTACGTAAAAGATCCCTTGACGGTTGGAATTCGATATAAGAGTAGGCCGTAGTGCCGCTGTCCGGGCAAAATTTCCCTCATAGCACACTGTATGGCGTATGCCCATCTTCATTAGCCCAGTTCGGAGCAGAATAGTAGGAGGAAGTTAAACCCCATTTCATTTCATTTCATAGGTAGATATAGGAATTTTCAAAGGGTGTGGTGGGGTCCATAGTTGGACCAGTTTGTGACATATTTCCATTTCAAAATTTGCGGTACAATGGTACAATATTTCTGACAAAGATGTAGGAATTTAGGACTTTTTGAAGCTTGTACCTTTTTATACACCCACATTGAAATGTGCGAACTTTCCTGTCATTAGAAGGGGGGTTGGATGGCTGAATGGTTAGCGTGTGCGCGCTGTATCATACAGTCTGTCATTGAGTCGACTGGCGTGGTTGCGAATCCCCGGTTGTACGTGGCAGGGAGCAGCTTCTAGTTATTTGAATGGGAAAATAACCCAAGGTCCTCCATGTAAAGAAAACCTTTGCAGCTGGAACTACAAGGAATCGCAGATTGTGCACATGAAGAAGACATTTAATCTCCATGGCATTTTTAAAAAAATGCAGTATTAAGGTTGGACCTAGACCTCACCCTGGGGGCTGATGAAATAGCTAGATATAACTCAATCATGTTCAAACTTACTAAAATACTTTATTCGTTAAAAGAACAATTGGATCAAAACCTTAGCACCATTCTACTCTAAAACTTGTGCAAATAAGAGACTGATAGTGTAATGTCGACCCTTCTGCATAAATTATGCAATTTAGGTAATTTGCATATTTTTGTAAAATATGTATTTTGATCTAATAAAGTATTGAACATGATTGAGTTTTTTTATAGACACCAGGCTTTGGTCTAACCTTAAAGCAGGTATAAATAACTGTTTGATTTTTTTACAGGGTATGTTAACATCGGCCTTACAGTATCGTCAATCTAAGGCTGAGACGTATACCTCACCCACTATGATAGGATTACAACAGGAATACATACCATGGACATCCACTGGTGGGGCTAGAGGATTACGTACTCTACTACTGAAACAGGTAACTTTGTCATGTTGATTAATGGGAGATTAGATAACGAGTTGGCAGTTCAGATGTATCGATTCTTGAATCCATCATGGGAAAAGAAATAAAATACAATTAAATTGGAGTTTAACGTTTTAGTTTACTATATGATTTGTTGAGATATTTTCTCATGCAGTCGGTGCATGCGTTCTAGCCCCAGGTTCCCATTTTTACTCGATTGTCACTATTTTTGGGTTTGACAGAATTCAATTCCGGAACGTTGTAAAGTTTGTAAAAATATAATAATCTCAGGTTTTCAGTTTCAACAATGGGCAAAAGAACACTTTAATGTGTGTCAATTGTATTACATTCTGATTAAAGCACAGATCCTATTTCATTTCAGTTTTATAGTTCAAACTTTTGTTTTACTTGTCTTTACTACACTAGGATCTGGAAGAGTTGTTATCATTGACGTGTTCTGAATGATGTGAGTGATTAGCCAATGAAACGATCTGTCATGGCGAGCTTTCGGCGTGTTTTTCACGGAACTGTGGGTAATCCACTAGTGACTTCAATGCTGATTGGTTAATCAAATGTCTGACGTCATAGGGTAAAAAACCGCTCGTATGACCTCTGGCACGAACTCCCACTACAACCGGTCAGATCTTTATGTAGTGTAGGCCATCGAAAGTATAAAAAAAACGAAACGAAATATAGATCTGTATTTTAATCAGATTGTTTGTATTATAGAAAATTGTTTGAACAAACATGGTGAGTTTCTATCATGAGTTATCTTCTCTTATCTAGATAAATCTAACATGAGTAATCTTCTCTTATCTAGATAAATCTAACGTGAGTTTTCTTATCTTGTCTAGATGAATCTAACATGAGTTATCTTCTCTTATCTAGATAAATCTAACATGAGTTATCTTCTCTTATCTAGATAAATCTAACTATGGGTGGCGCTGTACCTGAGATAAAGGATGATGATACAAGGATGGTTATATTTCAACAACTGTTAGTTTTATCAGATATTATACTAGATGGTTATAGTAATCAACTTGAGTCATTACGACGATCAGACGGACGAGAAGACGTATATCTTCTTCTAGATCAAAAATATCAACAGGAACGAACTAATCTCATCTCTCCTTTTGGTAAGAATACCATTATTTTGAGCGAGCTATATTCACGGTCAGAATGCAAAATGAAAAAATCCTTATTGAGTCGATTGTGGGTTTTCTCCGAGTCCTCCTGTTTCCTCCCACTGCCAAAAACACGTCAAGCAAATTAATTATTGAAATAAAATGAACCAAGTGGTGTGGTTTCGATTCCCAGCTTGTATGTGACAAGGAGTAATGTCGCCTGCCCAACCTCATGGGTATTCTCCGGGTCCTCCATTTCCTCCCACTGCTAAAGACCAATACTGCACGAACAAATTATTGAAGTAAAATTGAACCATGCGTTAGTCCCGAAAAGACCTAGTTTGTGTCGAGTGGACGTTCAACCCCATTCTCCCTCTCTCCCGTGTCATCTCCTTTAAACACCTGAAAAACTTGCATGAAACAGTAACTTGATCAATTATTTATTTCCTGGCAAACCTTTTAAAGGGGCATTATGGGAGATTAGATAAAGAGTTGACAGTTCTCGCTATAATAGTTATAAAATAGATAACGTAAAGAGAATATGCTGAAAATTTTAGTTAAATTTCTCCACTCTGAACCGAGATAATTTGAATTTTAGGCCTAGCATCGATCATCATAACTGAAGTCGGTACAATAAAAAACAAGTCTTGATTATCCATTTTAACATTTAATTATTTTTCAAAAAATGTATTCCAATCCGCTAAATATCGCAGACTAGCGATACTAAATGTCTAATTAATAGTTTAGATAACATTTCAGGCCTAATATCATTATTGCTGTTTATTATGAAGAATACGAAAGAGCGATGTCTTTTGCAGAGAAATATTACGATTTTGACTCGTTAATTTTAGTTAATTAATGTGTAATTAATAATTAAGATAACATTTCATCCCTAAAGAAAGACCTTCAATAGGCAGATTTTGCTCTTGTATAATGTTTGTTTAAAAATCATTATTGCAGTTGAGTATGAAGAATACGAAAGAGCGATGTCTTTTGCTGAGAAATATTACGATTTTGAATCGTTAATTTTGGTTTGTGAGAAGACTAATAATGACGAACGTCTGCAGAGATACGTTGATCAATTTTCTGAACAGGTACTTTCTTTAAATGGTTTCTATTTATGTGATGTTCGTAACACTCGATCATCCAAGTAATTTCTATTTCTATGTAAATTTAATCATTCTGTGGAATTATTGATGTCTCAACAGTTCGACTGAGTTATATAGTTTAGTTTATTACACGAAAGTAGATTTTGTATAGACTATATGTGATTGCTTTTATCAATCTGGGGATCCAGGGCAGTCATTGAGTCAAGTGGGGTGGTTTTGATCCCCAACTTCTACCTGACAGTGAGAGGGGTCGCTTTTCCAACCTCGTGGGTTTTTTCCTTGTCCGTCGGCTTTCTTCCACTACACCCAAGTGAATTATTGAAATACAATTGTACCATATATGGTAGTCGTGAAATGTTCTAGTTTGTATTGAGTGGATGTCAAACCCCATTTCTCTCACTGTTTATCTATGCTAATAAGGGAGTCCCAGTTCCGATTCCATTGTTGGCCTAGTTTCTCTTCTTCTTCTCCTGAGATGGGTTGGATGGCCGAATGGTTAGCATGTGCTCTTTTGATCATAAGGTCTGTCATTGAGTCAACTGGCGTTGGATCGATTCCCCGGTTGTACGTGACAAGGAGTAGGGTCACCTGCCCAACCTCGTGGATTGTCTCCAGGTACTTCGGTTTCCTCCCACTGCTAAAGACCCCTACACACAAGCAAATTATTGAAATAAAATTTAACCAGATGTTAGTCCTGAAATGACCTAGTTTGTGTTGAGTGGACGTTAAACCTCATCCCTCTCTTTTTTCTGATTCTAATTATTTATTTATTATTATTCAGGGTTTTTCCAACTTTCTGTTTGATTGGTATATGAAACATGGTAAGTCACGTCTCTTTCCTTTAAAATTGTAACTTAATTCAAATCATCCTTTTTATATTTTATGATGTCATGTTAGGATACTTTATGCTTCAAAATGTTTTTTTAAAATTCAAATAACTCAATTCGAATTCTGCTTTTTATACTTTTTTTAAATACACAAACAGAGTAAAGTTTGTATATTTTTGTGTAGCAGTATTTTGAGGTTTGACTGTGAAGGAGATTTATCTTTAGGTTTTTAAGTTTATGTTTAATATTTTACCCATTACTGCAGTAGATTATAGATACATTCATTAGTGCTGTACAATTAATAACATATATGATTTATTATATGCATAAAGTATTCAGTACAAATTAATCAATCAGCTTTAAACTGGACACAAGTACAAATTAGATGATTTTGGGTGATTTTAAATGATTTTTACCAGTTTTTAAACAAAGATTTGATATTAAATGAATGTGAAAGAAATTAGTGTTAGATACACAAGATTAAATGATATCCAGGTTACAGTGGAAGGACCTAGCTGCCAATAGTTTTCGAACAAATAAGGCCAAGCTGTTTGAAGGTGGTTCAAATATCAGTTGGGATTAATTTAAATCAATCGAGTACTGGAGAGAATGATTTTAATAATATATTTACAATCAGGGCTGCCGACAACCAGTATCGTAGCGCAATTTGCGATACATATTTTGTCCGTTGCTAACCAAGATTTTAATAATATCATTTACAATATGTCTTCCATTTATCAGGTCGTAGAGGTCGTCTTCTATCACAACCTGTCGGAGATTCAAGAGAATTGGGTCAGTTTTTAGAATCGGAGAATAATAAATATCTCAGCTGGTTACATGATATAAATAATCAGAACTTCACACAGGTAAAAAAAATAATATTTGGTATAATATTGTTGTCTGTTCAATCAGATTAAAATACCCATCTATATTTTGTTTTGTTTTTTTTATACTTTCGATGACCAGTTGTAGTGGGAGGTTGCGTCAGGGGTCAAACAAGCGGCTTTTGACCCTATGACGTCAGACATTTGATTATCGGCGTTGATGTTTCTAGTAGAATACCCACAGTTAGGTGCACTTCATGCCAAAATCTTGTTGTAACAGACCGCTTCATTGGCTAATCCCTCACAACATCCAGAATACGGGTTATATAACAACTCGTCCAGCTCCTAGTATAGTAAAGACAAGTAAAAAGAAATTTTGAATTATAAAAAACCGAAATAGGATCTGTGTTTTAATCAGATTAGTTTCAGTGTTGATGTAGCAAAATTCATCGGGGCCTGAAGTAAGGTTCATGTTTCAGTCTGTAGGGTGGGTGTGGTCCAGTGGTCTGATGCATGCACTTTAGATCATAAGGTTTGTCATTGAGTCAAGTGGTGTCGTTAAAGACCCTAACCCCAAGTGGATTATTTACTTGTTCATACCAGGGGGGTTGGATGGCCGAATGGTTAGCATGTGCATGCTGTATCATAAGACCTGTCATTGAGTCATCTGGCGTGGTTTCGAATCCCCGGTTGTACGTGACATGGAGTAGGGTCGCCTGTCCAACCTCGTGGGTTTTCTCCGGGTCCTCCAGTTTCCTCCCACTGCTAAAGACCCCTACGCGCAAGCGAATTATTGAAATAAAATTAAACCACACGTTAGTCCCGAAATGACTTAGTTTGTGTCGAGTGGACGTTAAACCCCATTTCTCTCTCTCTCTCTCTCACTTGTTCATACCAGTTTATGTATTTAGGATAGTTATATTATAAATTGGACATGCAGCGTTTTGATGATTATACATGACTTGTGCTTGATAGAGATGAGAGTATCATCAACGAAACATTGCATGTTAATAAACCAGTAATTGTTATTCCATAAATAGTGTTAGTTTTATATTGTTATTCCATAAATAGTGTTAGTTTTATATTGTTCAATTAATAAAGGCCACTTAAAGAAGATATCATATTTGATTTTCATACGTATTTTTTACAGGCTCATGTAACACTACTTGATCTAGCTAAAGTTGAAACAACATTTTTGTCGAAGAAAAAGGTGAATATAGAAATTCATTTACTTTTATAATTAATTTTGAATTTTATTTTTAAGTTTTGATGACATAGTATAGGCTTTCTTATGGACTTGCCAAATCGATTTGAATTTAGTGGAGATGTCATGTGACAGTATAGTCGATTTCAAAGTACTTTGGCGAGTTCGTTAAATGCTCCGATTAGCTGTAAACAATTGTTGTGGCTGGACACAGTTGAAAAAAACGTGATCACCCGATCAAATCGTCAAATCGCACCCTGAAGTGATTGTGCGATTTGATGTAATCGCTTCGGAAATTGGTGTCGATAAATTTGTTGATTAGGGTAACCAATTTGAATTAGACGGACCTTAAAGATGAAAATTTGATTGAATGCAAATCACTTTGACTAATCAGTGGTCGATAAAAACGCCTTTTATATTTCTTCGACATTTATATGATTTATGGATTATATACTAGATTATTATTTACTGTATTTGATCTCTTTCTTCCAGACACTTCTAAGTATTAGTAAATTAACTGCACTAGCCTCTGACAACAAGTCACCTGATATGCAGGAAAGATTACATGGTAAGTAGACATGTAACATACACACAGACCACATGTAAATGTGAAACTTGAAAAAATAAATGTGAAACTTGATAAAGTAACGAGGTCCTGTTTGACATTGACGTGCACCTAAAAGATACCTTGGCAGTTGGAATTTGATATGAAAGTAGGCCATGGTGCCACTGCCAAGGCAAAATTTCCCTCATAGTACACTGTATGGCATATGCCCGTCTTCATTAGCCCAGCATAGGAGCAGAACAGTAGGATGTTAAACCCCATTTCATTTCATTTTCTACATTCTGCATGCAGAACTGGATATTTTCCGATAGGGACTTGAAAATATCTTTTGATTCTATTATTGTCCTATGCATTTTACTGATAATATTCTGACGTGGTTCAATTAGATAAACAGTTGTGAATGATTTATATTGGTAGGAAATGGTTTGTTGTATCATAACAAGCTCATAGAAGCTCGTTAGTACTCATTAGTAACGGAATATTGATTCTCATTCTAATCAGCGAATAAATATTACATGTAACACAATAATAACGACGGCAAGTTAAAAAAAAAAAAAATGTTTTTATAGCTATTAAAGGAGATAAAACATCAAATTTAATATTTTCCATAATATAAAAATTTTTTAAAAAAATGATTTAGAATTCAATATTTGATCATTACAATCAATATTAATGTTGTTATCTTTCCATGAAAATATGGGATCTTAATATCCAATATTTAAGACACAATGAACATTTCATAATGAATACACGAGGAGTATTGTATGGTTTCAATCGCCATTTGTAATGAACTAAGAAATCCATATCTTACAAGAAAATGTGGAAGCAATTAGTAATAATAAGAATAAAAAACGTGTAGAATGGACTGAGCAGGCATAAGCAACTGTTGTTCAAGCATTCTATCGAACATAGTTGATTAGAAATTACAAAAATATTTTTAAAAATAGAAAATAAATCACTTATATGCATTCAAATTACGTTAATATGTGTTTAAGAGTTTCATCGCTTTAAGGGTTCCAAAGACTAGCGGTTGTACATGACAAGGAGTAGGGTTCCCTGTCCAACCTCATGGGTTTTATCCGGGTCCTCCTGTTACTTTCCACTGCTAAAGACCCCTACGCGGAAGTGGACATTAAACTCCATTTCCTTCTTTCCAGAGAATAGAGCCCTATGCCCTTTAACGGAGAGTACAAAGTGCAAACATAAAAAAATCAATTTAGATGATGGTAAAAGAAGTCGATAGACCGAAAAATAATATTTCCTGTGTGTCTTGAAATATTTATAATATAGTTTAATTAACATGTTTACTTTTTTGCTAATTATTTCAAATCAGTTATAATTTTTGATTAATAAAAAAACCAATGAAAATTGATGTATAAAGCAAGTAATTGGTTTTATTACATAAATAATTTATTGAATTTCTGATGGAAAAAACAAATGAGACCTATGCATGTTTTTGAAAGAAATTAAGGTTAATGGCTTCATTAAGAGAGAAAGAGAGGAGAAGAGAGAAAGAAAGAGAGAGAGTGTGTTTAACATTCACTGGACATAAACTAGGTCATTTCGGGACTGACATGGTTCAATTTTATTTCAATAATTCACTTATGTGTAAAGGTCTTTAGCAGTGGGATGAAACCGGAAGACCCTGAAAAAACACACGAGGTTAGACAGGCGACCCTACTCCTTGTCACATACAACAAGGGAATCGAAATCCAGGCAGTTGACACAATTAGAGACCTTATGATACAACATGCATGTGGTTAACATTCGGCCATGCCCCCCACCCCACCCCCAACCCCCATTAAAAAGCAAACGAAATTGAGGTTAATGCCATAATGATTCATTGTGTAAGATTTAGATAAAGAACTGGACGTTCTTGCTACATGTATAATATTTCAAAAATAGATAATGAAAAATGAATATATTGAAAATTTTATTCAAGTTACTTTATTCTGAGCAAAGTTATGAGTGTTTTAAGATGTAGCGTTGATTGTTTATTATCGTTACAACGGTACTTATTCATTTTATCATTAAATTTTGAAATCTTGCGAGTAGCTCGCTAGCCTGGAGGTCAGGTGTTTGATCCCTGCATTGGCCGAGAAAGTTCATCCAGATTTTCCAGTGTGGTTTCCCCTTGTCAGTGATGCAGGAGGGAGGGCCTGACAAGGAAAGCTGCCTAGTCGTTTGGATGGGACGAAAAATCGAGGTCCCGTGTACACATTGGTGTGCACGTAAAAGATCCCTTGGCAGTTGGAATTCGAAATATAAGAGTAGGCATAGTGACACTGCCTGGCAAAATTTCCCTAATAGCACACTGTATGGCTTATGACTGTCTTCATTAGCCCAGTTTAGGAGCTGAACCGTAGGAGGAAGTTAAACCCCATTTCATTTCATTTCACAGGTAGATATAGGAATTTTCAAAGGGTGTGGTGGGGTCCATAGTTGGACCAGTTCGTGACATATTTGTCCCCCGCCTTTCGAAGAAAGCAGGGGACTATTAAAATGGGTTCGTCCGTCTGTCTGTCCGTCACACTTTTTGGGACACAATAACTCTCTTCCTAATTGAGCTAGAATGTTCAAACTTGGTGTATGTGTTTATTAGGTCAATGCCTTGATGGAGTTCGAAGATGAGCATTTTCCGCTTAGGGTAAGCAGAGATAAGCAATTTGATTGGTTGATGCTTTGGGACACGATAACTCTCTTCCTAATTGGGCTAGAATGTTCAAACTTGGTGTATGTGTTGATTAGGTCAATGCCTTGATGGAGTTCGAAGATGAGCATTTTCCGCTTAGGGTAAGCAGAGATAAGCAATTTGATTGGTTGATGCTTTGGGACACGATAACTTTTAATTGAGCTAGAATGTTCAAACTTGGTGTATGTGTTGATTAGGTCAATGCCTTGATGGAGTTCGAAGATGAGCATTTTCCGCTTAGGGTAGGCAGAGATAAGCAATTTGATTGGTTGATGCTTTGGGACACGATAACTTTTAATTGAGCTAGAATGTTCAAACTTGGTGTATGTGTTTATTAGGTCAATGCCTTGATGGAGTTCGAAGATGAGCATTTTCCGCTTAGGGTAAGCAGAGATAAGCAATTTGATTGGTTGATACTTTGGGGCACGATAACTCTCTTCCTAATTGAGCTAGAATGTTCAAACTTGGTGTATGTGTTGATTAGGTCAATGCCTTGATGGAGTTCGAAGATGAGCATTTTCCGCTTAGGGTAAGCAGAGATAAGCAATTTGATTGGTTGATGCTTTGGGACACGATAACTTTAGTTCTAATTAAGTGAGATTGATGAAACTTGGTGTATAGTTTCATTACATCAATACCTTGACTAAGTTCGATAATGAGCATTTTCTGCTCAGGGTAAGCAGAGCGATACGCAATTTGATTGGTCGAGACTTTGGAAAACAATAACTCTCCTACTTTGATTGTTAGACTATAAGTAAAGATATACTGTTTGATTGTTCAATACTTTGTAAAAGATAATTTGTGATAAATTTATATGTGTCCTCTAATTATTTTCCTATTTCGGCGGGGAACATCAGCCTCACTGTTGGCTTGTTCTATTTCAAATTTGCGGTACAATATTTCTTACAAAGATGTAGGAATTTAGGACTTTTTGAAGCTTGATACCTTTTTTTACGCCCACATTGAAATGTGCGAACTTTCTGATAATTTCATTTGAAACTAATCTGATTAAAATACAGATCTATATTTCGTTTCTTTTTTTTTTTTGTACTTTCGATGGCCTACACTACAAGTTGTTGTGGAAGGTCGCGGCAGAGGTCATACGAGCAGCTTTTGACCCTATGACGTCAGACGTTTGATGAACCAATGTTTCTAGTGGGTTACCCAGATTTCTGTGCACCTGAAGCTAAAAACTCGCCGTAACAGACCATTTCATTGGCTAATCCCTCACATCATCCAGAACGAGGGTTTTATAACAACTCTTCCAGATCCTAGTGTAGTAAAGACAAGTGAAACAAAATTTTGAACTATAAAAAACGAAACGGAATAGGATCTGTGTTTTGATTAGATTGATTAGGATCAGGTAACACAAACAACGACCATAAATAAAATATATTTCCGTTCATTAGAAACAGCAACACCTCTTGACTAAGTGAAAATGATGTATTTGATATTATATTTTAAATGATATTATATTTCAGATATAAATGATGAATTAGATTTGATATTACATCAAGAACAGTTACCACTAGATGCCGTTCAGGTTAGACTTCTTGTATTAAATTGAGAGTCGCAGTAGGTAAGATGTTGGCTGGCTAACCTGGAGGTGCCGTGATCGGTCCCGGTGTTAGCCAAGAAAGTTCATAGGGATTTTCAGGCGTGTTCCCCCTTGTTGATGGTGTTGGAGGGGAGGGCCTGTCAAGGGATAACATATAGTCGTTCGACATGCCCTATCGCTTCTAACCGAAGAAAAAAAAAACACTGAAAGAAGACACATGTTGACATGGATAAAGGGGGAGGGGGTCACAGTGGCTAAGTGGGTAAGACGCTGGCTCGCTAGCCTGGAGGTCGGGTGTTCGATTTCTGCATTGACCGAGAAAGTTCATCCAGATTTTCCGGCATGGTTCCCCCTTAATTGTCAGTAATGCTGGTCGGAGGGTCGACAAGGACAATTGTCTAGTCGTTCGGATGGAATTAAAAACCGAGGTCCTGTGTACACGTTGACATGCATGTAAAAGAACCCATGACAGTTGGAATTAAAAATAAAAGTAGGCTGTAGTGCCGCTGTCCGGGTAAAATTTCCTTCATATATATAACATCCTTCATGGAGCAGAAAAGTAGGACGACGTCAAACCCCATTTCATTTGTATTGAATCAGATCATTCTGTTATAAGTGAATTACCATTGTTTTGTTAAATTCATATATAATTGCACTGGCTCGCTAACCAGGAGGGCCCATATTCAATCCTGCTGTCCGAGGAAAGTTACTCCACATTTTCTATCGGGTTTTCCCTTGTCATTTTTGCTGAACAAAGAGTGTCAGGCTTCTAGGACAAAAAATACAAATGCTGTGTATACCATTAAAAATCTCCTGGCAGTTAAAATTGAAATAAAAGTAGGTCATAGCGTAGCTGCCTGGGCAAAATCTTCCTAATAAATCATTCCATGGTGGTGGCCCGTCTTCATTAACCCAGATGATGCAGCAAAGTAACGTAGAACGTTAATCCCCATTTCATTATTCCCCATGGTATTTTGTTGTGTATACTTTTTTGTACTTGTGTATACTTTTTTGTACTTGTGTGTACGTTTTCCCATGATACTTGTTTTGTATACTTTTTGGTACTTGTGTATATTTTGTACCCATATATTACCCTACCAGCTTGGTTATTTTATTTTATTTCTTTTTTTTTTCAGAATTTAGGAATGAATGTTGCCAACATGAGTGTTATGACGCCACAAGAAATAGCTGAGGTAGACTTAAAGTTCTTAAAATTAAATCCTATAAATAAGCCGTGTTTGGGAAAAACCCAGCCATATAAGTTGACCTATCCAGCGTTAATTGTTATTAATGATTACTCAAAAAAAAATATTTTAATACATTATTTAATCCCCCACCCCCCCACACACACACACACTTTTGTTTACAATAATTTCAGCTTTGTACCCAGATCAAAGTGGGATATTGATAATGGTTAAACCCACATCGTTTTTATACGCCACTTTGAAATGTTGTATATTGTCATCGCTCCTGTCCGTCAGTCCAGCATCCACAATTACTTTTGGATGCTCTAGAGGCAAAAGTTAATATTCGATTAACTTTAAATTTATACACAGCAGTGTTTAAGGTCATGAGACGAAGAAGCCTCACTGTTGATCACTGTTCAAAAATTAATCATTATACATCATTAATCAATTAGGTTGTTTATTTTTTAACAATGATTGAGAAATTAAACACTTGTAAATTGGACACTCATTATCAAAATTGACTGGTCAGCTTTAAACTGGACAGAAGTACAAATTAAACAATTTATGGTGATTTAAAACAGTTTTTTACGAATTTTTAAACAAACATTTGATATTGAATGAATGTGAAAGAAATTTGTGCTAGATACACAAGATTAAACGATACCTGGGTTACAGTGTTATTAGCCCAGGGGGTGCAGAAATGTAGGATGCTGAACCCTACTTCATTTTTATTTACATATAAAAGTGAACTGACAGCAATATGGTTACATTGACAGCGTAGAGATCTCTCTCAAATACAAAATCGAGTAAGTTTTGCGGGTTGCCATTAAGACTAAGTGGTTGTTATAAGTTTTATGCTTTTTCATCCAGTTCACCGAATGTTGCAATATGAAATTTTTTTATTGTTTTGAAGTTTGAACTCACATTTGTATTTTTTTTTTTTAATTAAAAATAAAATGTTAGTTTCCAATGTCAGTTTGTGCTGTCATATAGAAAGAAATGATAAGGCCATACAAGCAAAATTTTCTGGTTTTCAGACAATCCTTACCAAAAATCTTATGAGGGAGATTTTTTTTTTATTTTTGTGTTTTTATTTTGTCAAAGGATCACTACTGGGCTAAATGACTTTTATATGCATCAAATTGTTGTTTATAGGAATGTATGATTATCCAGTATTATTCATTATTGTCAGTAACATTTATCTGGTGACTTGATAAATGAGCCTACATGTATGCATTCATTCAGATTTATTTATAGATTTACTTCCTGTTACTGGTGGGTGATGGGTGGGGATGGGGGGGGGTGAGGTGGATGGCCGAATGGTTAGCACGTGCGAGCTGTATCATAAGGTCTGTCAAGGAATCAACTGGTGTGTATTCCATTCCCTGGTTGTACGTGACAAGGAGTAGGGTCGCCTGTCCAACCTCACGAGTTTTCTCTGGGTCCTACGGTTTCCACCCACTGCTAAAGACGTCTACACTCAAGTTAATTATTGAAATAAAATTGAACCATGTGTTGGTCACGAAATGACCTAGTTTGTGTCGAGTGGACTTTAAAACACCATTTTGCTCTCGCTAGAAGCTAGATTATCTGAAAACCAGGATATTTTCTTTATGTTACCTTAGCCTTAGTTTGATATTTTACCTGGAGTGTATGTTACAAATCAATTATTTTTGTTGACATTTACTGGAAAGTAATGATATTTTAGAATTAAATGTAGATGGTTTTATTATTAATGAGTGTATTTTTTCAGCTTTATGTGGGGGGATATGAATGTAGTGGCAACACAATATGATTTTAAAATGTTGATTGTTTAATTATTAATGAGTGTATTTTTTTCAGCTTTATGTGGGGGATATGAATGTAGTGGCAACAGAATATGATTTTAAAATGGCTTTGGATTTGTTGAGTTATATTGTAAGTTTTATTTATATACAGTTTGGAGATTGGGTTGGGTGGTCGAGTGTTGTAATGCATGCCCTTTAGATCATTAGGTCTGTCATTGGGTCAAGTGGCTTGGGTTTGATCCCAAGCTTGTATATGACCAGGGAAACTGTTGCCTGCCTACCCTTGTGGCTTTTTCCCTTGGATCCTCCGGTTTCCTCCCACTCCTGAATAACCCAATGCACAATCAAATTATTGAAATAAAATTGAACCATAATGTTAGTCCTGAAATGACCTAGTTTGTGTCGAGTGGACGTTAAACACTGTAACCTGGGTATCATTTAATCTTGTGTATCTAGCACATTCATTTAATATCAAATCTTTGTTTAAAAATTCGGAAAAATCATTTAAAATCACCCAAAATCATCTGATTTGTACATGTGTCCAGTTTTAAGCTAATTAATTTTGATAATGACTGCGTTTAATTTCTCGATCACTTTTAAAAAATAAACAACCCAATTGATTAATGATGTATAATGATTAATTTTTGAACAGTGGTCAGGAAATTAAATACTTGTAAATTGTACACTCATTATCAAAATTAATCAGTCAGCTTTAAACTAGACACAAGTCCAAATTAGATTATTTGAGGTGATTTTAAATGATTTTTACACATTTTTAAACAAAGATTTGATATTAAATGAATGTGAAAGAAATTAGTGCTAGATACACAAGATTAAATGATACCTGGGATACAGTGTGTGTGTGTGCCAGAACAAGCCTCAAACGATTGGTAAACTCAAGGCAGCACTCACAGTAAAAATCAGGGAAATCCCCAAAGAGGGATGTGTTCAAGTAATTGAAAATTGTGCGTGGAGGCCATTTGGAGCATATTTTGCAAAGCAACCGAGATAACTGAATCCTTGAGGAATGATCATACACAGATTGAAAATTAAGTCCAGTAAATTTCTGGAATTTTCTTGAAATATACTAAACCTTTGTAGGATTTAATATAAATTTTATGGATTCTGGGTTTTTTGGGGGGTCACCCTGTATCTTACATATATTGTAATTATTATTTGTATGCAGTACTTACATAACAAGTCTAGTCGTTTGGATGGGATGAAAAACCGAGGTCCCGTGTACACATTGGTGTGCACGTAAAAGATCCATTGACAGATGGAATTCGATATAAGAGTAGGCTGTAGTGCCGTTGTCCGGGCAAAATTTATCTCATAGCACACTGTATGGTGTATGCCTGTTCGGAGCAGAACAGTAGAACGTTAAACCCCATTTCATTTCATTGCATCATCAGCTGTACATTATGTTTAGTTTATGTTTAGGACTTTTATCATACCTGTTTACTTTTATTTTTAACGCAATTTTTTCCGTAAGGCACCACAGAGAATTCAAATTCTTTGAATGTATAGAAAATGATTATTATTATTTTAATTATTTGTTGTGTATCTCAGATCTGTGTTTTATATTTTAGGATGACCCAGAAGTAGATAAAAATGAATTACGTTTGCATATTTGGAGTAGAGCTGTATTACGAGACAGGTTTGAACATTTTAATATGAGAGAGGGAGAGAGAGGGAGAGAGAGAGAGGGAGAGAGAGCCCAAACCTCCAGTTTAGTGAGCAAGGACTTATTCACTTAGCCACCGTGGATCCTCCTCATTATCCTTTGAAACTTTGCATACTTATTCCTTATATACCCTAAGGATGATCCCTATTGATTTTGGTAAATTAACGCCCTCCCCCCCCTTCGAATCCCACTCCAACCCCCACTCCCTATAGGCCGCAATTTTTAATGGATCGCTTCCAAAACTTTTCATACTTATTCCTTATACCCTAGGGATGACCTCTTTTAATTTTGGTGCATGTCCAACCCCATGTTAGTGTCTGTGAAACTTTGCATACCTATTCCTTTTACCCTAAGAATGTTTTTGGCGAATCGTATGCATGCCACAATTCTGACCCCCTCCAACCAATGATCTGTATGAAATTGTCTTGTAAATACCCCCAATTACCAACAAAAGAATAAATATGTGACAACCCTTATCGACTGCTCAGAGAATTTAGCTGCTGTGGGTGTGTGTTTCGTTGACTCTCAACCCATCTTTAACTTTATATTGTTTTTAAATTTGGTATGAAGCACTGGGATTATAGGAGGATGAACCCTATGGATATTCAGCCTTCTGTCTCAGAGTTATTCCCCTTTTCTGAAAACCCTGTGAACTCGATAGAGGGTATAGTTTTTAACTGATTCCTTTCAAATTTGGTGGAAAGCATAGGGATCATGATAGCATGAACCTATTGATATACAGCTATCTTTCATAGTCTGTTCCAGAGTTAGGACTCCCCTTTGCCAAAAAACTATAAAACCTATGCCGAAATATCAAATTAGGTATTCATCTAAGTTTTCCTTTCAAATAAGCTGGTGTATTTCCAGGCTTTGCATGGCTATCAAAGAGTGTTTCCCCCAAGAAGAGAAAGAATTTAGCATCCACTTGACACAAACTAGGTCATTTCGGGACTAACATGGATCCATTTTATTTCAATAATTCGCTTGCACGTAGGGGTCTTTAGCAGTGGGAGGAAACCGGAGGACCGGAGAAAACCCACGAGATTGGACAGGCGACCCTACTCCTTGTCTTGTACAACCGGAGAATCAAAACTACGCCAGTTGACACAAAGACAGACGTAATGATACAATGCGCATTAAGACGTTTGATGTATTTGTAGGTAAAAATTATTTCCTAGTGTAAATGGGTATTAAAATGAGTAAAAGACTCAATTCCGCCCAAAGCAGTAACGTCTTATGTAAACAATGTACGCGTCATTTAGCCAATGATTGATGCCGCGTGATGAGACATCATGTGTTGAAGGTAGTCATCTTTTACAGAAGACTTTCTTAATCCTATGTGAAACAGATTGCTATTAAGAGTGACTTGTTTGTCTCTTTTCAAACAACTTTAACAATACCAATATCTTTGATCATTAAGGTACCTGCTTTTAGTTGTATAAATGTCTCCTGCTGACAAACTTGAAAGCTTGAATTTTAGTCAGGTAAATCTACTAAGTTGGAAATCCCTGATTCTTAAGAGATTGTAATTAACCTGAGCAACATCAAAGACAGTCAACGCTAATAATCTGGGATGTATAGCTTTAATTAAGACAACCATAGTAGTGATAAATAAACACCAGTAACTATTGTTTAACACTTGATCAGTGAAGATTGTATCATAAAACCGAAAATATTTTAAACATACATTATGCAAGAGGTAAATCTGTCTATTGCAAGTCTTTCTTTAGGCCTGAAACGTTATTTAAATTATTAGACATTAAACATACATTATGCAAGAGCTATATATGCCTATTACAGATCTTTCTTTAGGCCTGAAATGTTATATAAATTATTAATTAGACATTTATTAACATGAACTCTCGATGCCATCTGATGGGTCCGATTTTCACTGGATTTGATGATAAAATGCAAAACCCCAACCCCCAGGGATAGAGCCACACCCAATGTTTGTGTTTATCGTATACATGCCACAATTCTGATTGGATTATCTTGTAACTTGGTAAGCTTGGACGGCAACTATTCATTTTGGTGCCTGAACCCGCCCTTCCCTCCCAAGCGGTGCCACACCCACCAATTGTTAATATTTTGTCTGTAAATAATCTACAATATACAGGTCACGATTCTATGGAATACAATTGCTGCTTATTACTGAGCGACGTTTCGACTAGGCTATTCTAGAATTGTGACCTGTATACTCTAGTTCAATTACTAAATGGGTGGTTGAATGGCCGAATGGTTAGCACGTGCGTGCTGTATCATAAAGTCTGTCATTGGGGCAACTGGTGGGGTTTCGAATCCCCGGTTGTACGTGACAAGGAGTAGGGTTGCCTGTCAAACCTCGTGGGTTTTCTCCGGGTCCTCCGGTTTCCTCCCACTGCTAAAGACCTCTAGGCGCAAGTGAATTATTGAAATAAAAAAAAATAAACCGTATGTTAGTCTCGAAATGACCTAGTTTGTGTCAAGTGGCCATTATACCCCATCTCTCTCTCTCTCTCTCTCTCTCTCTCTCAATTACTAAATGCCATTGAAACAGTTTAAATAATCCACAAGTTGCTATTATTAACTGATTAGGATCCAATTTAGAATGATCCATCATAGGGTTGTATCTATTTATATTGGTCCAGGTCAAACCCCCAGGGGCAGAGCCACGCCCAATTCTTGTGGGGTTTTTTTTTGTCTATTGGCTGGAATTCTGAATGGATCATCTTGGAACTTTGCATATTTATTTTTTTCAATCCTTATACTGTAAGGGTAGCAACCATTTATTTTGGTACATGTCCTGATCCCCCAGGGGTGGTGTCACACCCACTTTTTAGTCTGTAAATACTCAACAGGTTGCAATTATGAACAGATTTTGTTCAAATTCAGCATATCAATCATTTCAATAACAGGGTGGTCGGTGGTACCTATTTATATTGTTCCATATCCAATCGCCAGGGGCAGAGTCACGCCCAATTTTTGTGTTTATCGTCTACAGATCGTTTTTAGTGTGCCGTGAAATTTTAAACAGCACACTAAGAAAATGTGAGAAAAAAAACATGTGATCCCAATTGAGTATCCACTGATAAGTTCATAGCTTTGTTTTTCTTTATTTAGTCTATGTGTCTATGACTAGTCTCTGTCTACGGCTGTATGTCGTCTGACTTACCATGTTTTTATTTTGCAAAATTCAGATATTTTCATATATATTTAGCCAGGTGTGCGGATATTTCTCAGGTTCCAAGGTGTGGCGTTGGCCAAAAAAGGTTGAGAACCACTGGTCTACAGACTGCAATTCTGAATGTATCATCTTGTCTTTAGACCGTAAAGACAGCAACTATTATTTTGGGTGCATGTCCTGACCCCCAGGGGCGGTGTCATACCCACGTTTTTGTTAATAATTAGTCTCTAAATTTTGGCAAAACAAACCCAACACCTAGCCTTCTTTGCCTCTTGTCATATTACAGTTGAGTTATTGCAGCTATTTCATATTTCATTCTCTTCATTTTAAAAAATACCAGGTCAAACAAAGCAGGAATTTGGACGAATATTGCAGCGGTAGCTTTGCTCTTGTTTTAGATTGTGTTGTCTATATTAAATATGAAGATAAATTGCTATTAAACATACATTATGCAAGAGCTAAATCTGCCTATTGCAGGTCTTTCTTTAGGCCTGAAGTGTTATTAATTAGACATTAATTAACTTATCCAGACCATAATCAACTCTCGATTTCACCGCTAGCCAGCGATATTTACTGGATTGGAATTTGACCTGCTGCGCAACGCTCATTAATGATTAAATCAAAAAGTGGATGATCGAGACTGTGTTTTATCGAACCGACTTTAGTAATGATGATCGAGGCTAGGCCTAAAATTAAATCGCTAAATTCTCGGTTCAGAGTGAATCAATTTGACTGAAATTTTCAGCAAATTCTCTTTACATTATCTAGTTTTTAACTATTATAGTGAGAATTGCCAGCTCTTTATCTAATCTCCCATAATGTATCTTTAATTGATATGTGTCATTTTGTTTTGGGATTAAGTTGGTGGGGGGGACATACCTCACTGTTGACTTGTTTAATAATAATTTTGTGTTTTTATTTTTTAACAGTTGGGATAGTAATACAACCAGTGATCCACTAGATACCAATAAAGATACAATCTTCTTTAAAACAGTTGATCTTGCTTATACACAAGGTAAACAATCTCTCTCTCTCTCTCTCTCTCTCTCTGTCTCTCTCTCTCTCTCATTAAAACAGTTAATCTTGCTTACACACAAGGTAAATGGTTTATGTCTTACAAAGGTCTTCCTAAATGGGTAAGATGCTGGCTCGCTAGCCTGGAGGTCGGGTGTTCGATCCCTGCATTGGCCGAGAAAGTGCATCCAGATTTTCCGGTGTGGTTCTCCATTGTCAGTGATGCAAGATGACGGGCCTGACAAGGACAGCTGTCTAGTTGTTCAGATGGGACAAAAAAAAAACGTGGTCCTGTGTACACAATGGACGTAAAAGATCCATTGGCAGTTGGAATTCGATATAAGAGTATGCCGTAGTGCCGCTGTCCTGGCAAAATTTCCCTCATAGCACACTGTATGGCGTATATGTCTGTCTTCATTAGCCCTGTTCGGAGCAGAACAGTAGGACATTAAATTTCATTTCATTTCATTTCACAAAGGTCTTCTGTTCCCATGACAAGTGCACTTAAAAGCAGTTCTTCACGTTTAAGGTTAGCTTTAGCTCCTGTCCCTGCTCCTCTAGATGCACTGCAACATTCCTTCCCACCTCGACTTTCCTTAGAGGAGTCATTAAAGACTCCTGCAAATTAACTAAATAGCTCTCCTAAATATTGAGATTAATAAACTACTTTCAGTTTTTGTTTATTTTTAAACTGCATACATTCGAGCTATCAGTTTCTATGATGATAATTGTGACACTACCATATTCACCAAACATATTTATCAAATATTAAGCAAGACTAAAGCATAAATACAATTTAGCTCTCCTTCATTCAAGAAAATGTAGAATTACTCTTGCAATATCATTAAGAAGAGTTTTTTTTACAGGAGCTTTTTTCTTATTTTTGAAATTGGCAGGAGCTTTTCATGGCTCCCGCTCAATTTTATAAATGTGAAGGATTGTAAAAGGCATATGGCTCTATTCTTTGGAACCTTCAAATAGATGAAAATGGTTCAATTATGATTTTCACGATTGTGTTGCAGTCCAGGGGCCTGTTTCATAAGATTTTAACTAAGATAAAATCCAAATTTTAGTAATTTGATTCGATGATATTAGATTGAATTTAGGTCTTGGCCAATCAAAATTGAAGTATCTACTAAAATTTGGATTTTATCTTTAGTTAAGATTTGAGAAACAGGACCTAAGTTGTTTATTTGTGTATTTTTAGGTGAAGATTTAAACGAGTGTTTACCAAGTGTAGAAGAGTTACTAGAATCCAAGGAATTAGGGGATTTAAGACACAATCCTAATTTTCAATTCTTAATAAAAGCTGGTTATGAACATTTACAGTCAGTTATGTGACCTCATGATAGTTTTGAACATTTACAATCTGTTATGTGACCTGCTATAAAGTTATTATGAACATTTACAATCTGTTATGTGACATGCTATAAAGTTATTATGAACATTTACAATCTGTTATGTGCTATAAAGTCATTAAGAACATTTACAGTCTGTTATGTGACCTGCTATAAAGTCATTAAGAACATTTACAATCTGCTATGTGCTATAAAGTCATTAAGAACATTTACAATCTGTTATGTGACCTGCTATAAAGTCATTAAGAACATTTACAATCTGCTATGTGACATGTTATGAAGTCTTTAAGAACATTTACAATCTGTTGTGTGGCATGCTATAAAGTCATTATGAACATTTACAATATGTTATGTAACATGCCATCAAGTCATTATGAACATTTACAATCTGTTATGTAACATGCTATAAAGTCATTATGAACATTTACAATCTGTTATGTGACATGTTATGAAGTCATGAAGAACATTTACAATCTGTGTTGTGACATGCTATGAAGTCATTATGAACATTTACAATCTTTTGTGTGCTATAAAGTCATTAAGAACATTTACAGTCTGTTATGTGACCTGCTATAAGGTCTTGATGAACATTTACAGTCTGTTATATAACATGCTATAACAGGTCTTAAGAACATTTACAATCTGTTATGTGGCATGCTATTGTCGTTATGAAGATTTGTGACCTTGACATGCTGTGCTATATGAACATTTACAATGTGTTACGTGATCGGCTATAGAATGGTTATGAACATTTACATATTTACAACCATTACAGCCGCATCAAATAATGATAATATTCCAGTCCACTATTAAATCATCACAACATCATCAGATATTCTGTTTTAATAAAATATGGTGTTAAACACGCCTCTTGTTTCAGTTATATTTACTAGTCTTGACTGACTCACCAGTGAAATCGACTGACTACATGTTACCCGTCAGTCATTAAACATGTCAGTTACAGTTGTTAGTCTTGACTGACTAGCCAGTGAAAGTGACTGCCTGGAGAACTTGAAATGGGGTTTAACGTCCTACTGTTCAGCTCCTGTACTAGGCTAATGAAGATGGGCATACGCCATACAGTGTGCAATGAGGGAATTTTGCCCGGGCAGCGGCACTGTAGCCTATTCTTCAGATATAGTTGTTTGTCTTGACTGACTAGCCAGTGAAAGTGACTGCCTGGAGAATTTGAAATGAAATGGGGTTTAACGTCCTACTGTTCAGCTCCTATACTAGGCTAATGAAGACGGGCATACACCATACAGTATGCTATGAGGGAAATGGCCTTCTCTTATATCGAATTCCAACTGCCAAGGGGTCTTTTATGTGCACGCCAATGACAAGGAGAAACCATATTGGAATATCTCGGAAGAAGTTCCTCGGCCAATGCAGGGATCGAACACGCGACCTCTAGGCTAGCGAGCCAGCATCTTATCCACTTAACCACCGTCCATGGCTCCGCCTGAAGAACCTACCTGTCAGTTAATTAACAAGCCATAAAATGAGAAGTCCAAACAATTTAACCTTAAACACAATAGTTACAGGTGTGTGGGGGTCGGGGTTACATAGTATACTCTGCATAAGTGGGAAGTGTTAGTTGTGCTTTTGGACCGCTGGACTCACAACTTGGTTGTCCTGAAATCAAATCCCGATGTTGCCCGAGAGAAACCTTTATGATTTTTAAAGCTAAACTTGTGTAGAATGCGCATCTTAACAGGAATATGAAAACAATGGATCGAGGGATCCGATACGGAAATGTTCTTCACCAGATAAATATTGAAGTACATAAACAAAAGAGACACTAACACTGTTTTTTTGAACCAACGTTTCGAAGCGGTACCCTCTTTTTCTTCAAGGTAATAAATAAAGCATTTGAAAATAATCTCTGTTATTTCACTTTCCAACTGTCGGAAGATCATTATCATACTGCTAATGGTATATTTGGGACTTCTGTTTTATTGACCCATCCGAACGACCATATACTTTTCCTTGTCAGACCCACCTTCCTGCATCACTACCAATGGGAAACATGGATGGAAATCTAAAATAAATATGAACATTTATTTAAAAATATTTTATGAATAATCATAAAAAGGGATAAAGATAGCCAATCAGTTTTTTTTAAACAATAAATATTTTGAGTTCCTGTGTACACTTTGGCGTGCACGTAAAAGATCTCTTGACAGTTGTAATTCGATATAAGAGTAGGCCTAGTGTCGCTGTTTTGGCAAAATTTCAGTGTTTTTGAAGAGAAAATCACCTGTACCAAGAGAAGTTTTTATTGATAAGAACCCCAAATTAATCACTCCCGATCAACCAATCCTGAAAAGCAAATTCGAACTTAATGTCTTCAAGAAAGAAAATGAAGCCACTCCTTACAGAATATCATTACAGATTTAAATTTAAGGAGCAGCGATCTTTTAAGTACTAATAGTTTAAGAGTCTTAGGAAACTCCGTTTTCCATAAATTTACAAGAGAATGAAGGGTTAGGCTACATGTTGGTAATAAATTACGAACAGCGTATATAAAATGGTATAAAAAGAAAATGAATGTTAAGGGGGCTTATGTCGACTAGTTCCAGTCAGTTGCAAGTGTGCTTGTGCCGATCATATAACTGACTCGGAACTGATAGCGATCACTCTTTAAAATTAACACGTGACTGTTAATTATTCATCACGTGATCAACAAACTGGAGAATACCTTAGAAGAAGCCCCCCCCCCCCAAGGCATGGTCGGTCTTCCCACAATTTTATTAATACATTATTGTCGACATTTGAAAAGTGGGTGTCTTCGTTCGATTCCATTTTGCTTATTTATAGTCACATGACACATGTCTCTTACCACGTGATGTTATTTTCATGGAAACCAGTTGACGCCAGTTGTAAGAACGCTCATGTTGACGGCAACTAGTTGTCGCTAGTTGAAGCGAGTTGCAGAAAGTTAGACATGGCCAACCGACTTCAACTGACTGGAACTAGTTGCTCTGAGTAGAGTTGTAACTGATCTTTTTCAGTTGAAGCCAGTTACTCCCAGTTCGCCCTAAGTTCACAAAGCATTCTCAGACTTAAGTTAAGAATTTACTCAACTTTCAATCACTGTTTATGAGAAATATCTTTGATCCAGAAACACAAAACTTTGCACATAGTTTCTTATTGATGTATTTGATACATTAAAACAACAAAAGTTTTATAATGGGCTATATTTTAGTTAAAATAAGGCAAACAATTTTGAGTAAATTCTTAACTTAAGTCTGAGAATGCTTTGTGATTTAAGTTAGCACCTCGACTATTATATAGAATTTTATATTACAAAGAACAATGTTGCGTTCAATGGCTGCGAAGTTACAATTAAATTTATTAAGATTTTCAATACTCTTTTTTTATATCCTAAATTCTTGAAATCTCAATTTTGTAAAAAAATAAATTAAAAGAATTGAAAGCAATCTTGTAATGGTATTTCTATTTTACAAAGTAATTGACAAACATGATTTATAGGTTTTATTATATGTATCGATAGCTTGTAAAAGGAGCTAAATCGCTAATATTTGGGACCTAGAAATTGACACAAATGGGTCGCAACGCATAAAATAATGTAATCATCCATCATAAAATGTATTCAAATCCAGTAAATATACGCAGGCTAGCGGTGGCATCGAGATTTGATTATGGTCTGAATACGTTAATTAATGTCTAATTAATAATTTAGATAACATTTCAGCCCTAAAAAAGACTTGCAATAGTCAGATTTAGCTCTTGCATAATGTATGTTTAATAGATTTACACATGATGGAAAGCGAACCTAATTTAAATCATGTTATATTTTGTTGATTAAATCGATGGCCGAGAAGTATTTGCAAATCAAACAATACACAGCATCATTGCGACACAGTAAACAGGTGTACACAAAACTTATCTTATTTTCTGAACAGTAATTGTAAATGTCTCATTTGTCTCATGGCATTTAGTAGACTGATTTAGATAATTGTAATATCCATAAAATCTGGTTTTGTTTATCCTTCATTAAAGATACATTATGTAAGATTTAGATAAAGAGCTAGCCATTCTTACTATAACAGTTCGAAAATAGATAATGTAAAAAGAATAATTTAAAAATTCATTCAAATTACACTATTGCGAGCGAAGATATTAGCCTTTCAAGGTTTGACAAGACGTGTGCAATAATTTCAACCGCCGTACTGGTTGTTCGAAGCTAAGTCTCGCTCCTCCATTTTTAGCTTAAATCAAAATATGGCTGAACTTTTCTAATCTATTTAATATCGGATAAATCCGATGCCATCGAGAGTTGATTATGGTCTGGATAAATTAATTAAAGTCTAATTAATAATTTAGATAACATTTCAGGCCTAAAGAAAGGCCTGCAATAGACAGATTTAGCTATTGCATAATGTATGTTTAAATAGGTATATCTATTTTAATAATTGCATTTTTCGGAAAAGATCAAATATCTCACGACTGAATCCACGCTAATGTGAAAATTTAACATTTAATTAAGAATACAAAATACCAATGCTAGAAGGCTTGGTCTCGCTTTAACTATAACGTACATCTTTATATCTTATCAAGCCCTTCACGTAATACCCTGCATATTTCGGTACTAATTTCATTTGGGTACAAGCCCAATTTGTGAGCCTAACAGATTCCTCGATCGGCGCGAATACCAAGTCTCGCGCCTTGAAGCTAAAATGTCTACCTGTGATAATCGAGTTGCAAAGTTCAAGGTTCGTTCAATGTCAACCTCTGATTGGACGCTACTATTCATGTGTCTTTAGATAACGTTGCTGTAAGTTCGGGAATTGTGAAGTAATCTAGCAACGTCCAGATGTAAAACTCACAGTCGTTGCTTCAAGAACATCCAGATGTTCTAAAAAAAACTCGTAGTCGTTGCTTCAGGAACATGTCTCCCGGTATGGATTCAATCGGATCAAACAACCGGCTCATCAATTGGTTCAAGAAAAAAGACAACTGTCCTGTTATATAAGGCCATAACTTTGTATATACCGAACGGAATTGAACCATTTTTTGAATTGGTATCTTAATCGAGATTCACCTTTTTCACAATTACAGGTGATTCTGTAGTGTTAGGTCTATTTGATAAGGCCAACTTCACGTTTGGTCTAAGGTCAGGTACTGAATTTTCATCATCCTAGGTCAGTGCTTATGTGGAGACTCAACCCCTCCCCCAAATTCTTAAAACTAACCCTGGATCTAGCCCTAATGCTTACCCTAACCCTAACCTACAATCTCACCCAACAATCACATGCCCTAAGCGATCTTGAAGAAAATTGAACCGACCTTAACAAATAGATCTAGCCGATTCTGTTGTGAGAAGCACACTCAGAGTATTATATAAATATAACCAACGTCTTTTCTACGGCAGACGGTTGGGTCAAAATAGCCAGGGTAGATATCTTGGGTTTAAATGTGTTTAGTTAAATCTTATAAGTAAGTTACTGTATTATTGTGGTAGAATTCAGTATCACATACAAGTGAAGAGTCAAGGGGAAGAACGATCTCAGTCACATTTTTGTATTTTCGCATAAAAGGCAAAACAGTCTGTTGGACGAGAATGCTTGATTACAACTTCAAAATGATGTTTAATACGAATCATAATTACCAGTACAACAACTTACTTCCACTTATCAGCCAAATTAAGGTCAAATAAAGGGTACGATGGACGTATTTGTCCGGGAGACCATTTCAGAAGGGCCTTGATTCGATATGACTCCGATCGTTTTTACCGGAAATTGATTGTTCCTGAGAAAACTTATACAATTTCCTAACAAATGGCGCCATAAACTGGGGTTCGTTGAAAAATTGACTTAGATTGTTCTTCCCCGGGGCTCTT